GAGTACTATGTCAGACAGTCTGTCAGCAGCAATTCATTTGTCTTCAACATTAACAAAGTCTGAATTTTTTTCTTATTGCTGAAATATTATTATTTTATTACTTTGCCGACGTTTTGCATTCCCTTCTAACATACCACTAAATGTATTTTACCAGAAAGTGTGCTTAGCTGTTGTCACAAAAATGATTTAACCCTGCATGGGACAGAGGGACAACAAATACATTACAATGGTTATTTAACAAAGTGAGAGTTCAAAGTGAATTTCAAATTTAAGGTCAGAATAGTTAAACTGAAAAAAATTCTTTAAGCTTTTTTATGAAAAAAAGCAAACAAGAAACAAATATGTGCCGCTACCCCAAGCCTTTTTAAACAGTATTGTTGAGAAATCATCCAGTATCGATGCAAAATCGACGTCCAGTTACTAGTTTCATTTGGGTTTTTGTGTGTGTGTGTGTGTGTGTGTGTCCCTCTTTGATGCCCAGTGCAGAAATTTGTTAGTCACAGTTTTTTGCCTTGCTCGGAATTCTTCAATAAATCTGCGGTATAAGGAAATTCGTTCTCCACAAAATCTTTTTTCCATTAAGATATTTTGAGGGTGCTATTGCTAGTTTGTGGGAATTTTCAGCTATGCTTTTTGTTTGGCTACTCTGGGCTTTCAAGAAACACTCCACTGGCTAAAACACAGAAAAATAAATAAAAATCGTTGTGACCATGACTACATTATTTCTGGATTAATTTGGGTTTATGACAGCTACTTCTCATTATATTATGAGTATTAAAGATCTATTGCTACTTTTGCTGTCTACTAGCTACTCTGTTATTCTGAGTGAACCACCTACGAGGTATTAAGTTCACATCATAACTTATTTAGCTGGTCTATATCTCTTAGTATTTATCCATTTCTATTTATAAGCTAAGCAGTCTGGTGTATCCCTGGACACTTGGTGTATATATTTTAACGTTAATTCTACTATTAAATTTTTTTTATTATTTTCTGAACCTTGTCTGAGATACATTTTTTCTTGCAAGTTTTTATATAGTGCTCTATAGGGGGTACTGGTTTTGATGGGATTTGCTTCCTGTTTAGGGATGCTTCTCCCTCATTTCCTTATTTTCTGTATTTTCTGTATGCTTTAGGGTTAAGCCCTTTTAGTACCCCTGTAACTCTCTCTGTACTCTTTGCCAGATTTTTTTCTGATTAAGAATATTGTGTTTGTATATATAAAATAGCTTGCAAAGGCTGCAGATTTCTTCGTCTGCAGGCTTTACAAGCCCTCCCTTTCTAACCCGGCCCAGAGTTTCTGTGGCTGTCCAATCACAGGCTGTCCAATGCAGCTCAATGCAAAGTCTCTGCAAGGCAGGTGCTCTGAGCAATTGCCTGACTCATGAGATAAACTACCAGGAAGTAACAGGACCGGGTTCTGATTGACAGCCAGGAGGAGTAACAAGTTTATCTTATAGAAGTACCAATTTCTATTGAAATCTGCACTTTTTGTAAAAAGATTTTTTTTAAAGGACGCATTCTTCACAAATAAGAAACTTCAGCAAGCTGAGGTGCCTTAGGGGTTTCCCTTTAAATTCACTCTGAACTCTCAGTTTAATTAATAACATTTGGAACTATAGTCTGTAAGCTCATTTGAGCAGGGTCTTCTTCAACCTATTGTTCCTGTAAGTTTTCTTGTAATAGTCCTATTTATTGTTACATCCCCCCTCTCAATATATTGTAAAGCGCTACGGAATATGTTGGCGCTATATAAATGGCAATAATAATAATAATAACTATAAGGCAATATTTGCTTCACTTAGACATTCTAACTACAATGTATTTTACAACCAATATCATGATATATTTCCTGTATTCTTCCAGGTACAGTAGGTCTGCTTTGCATAATTCCATAGTGATGAATTGAGCTATAGCATGACGTCAATGGTGCGAGAAAGATAGTACCACCATTGGTTTGCTCTGGAATAGACTGGTGTAGACTGGCAGCACTTGCAATTGAAGGAAATGAAGCATGACATGACTTGTGACAAATTATGTATTGATGCATTTCAATCACAAATATCGAGGGACACGTGAAGACCAGAGCTACACATAACCTTTGTTTGAAATGGTTTGTGTTTGTTTTTAACTTAAGAAAGACAACAAATGTTAGGAGTAATGGCGGTAAATGGAGCAGGAGAGGAGTACTGTTCTCCTAACAATACAAAATGTAAGGAAATGTAATTTAGAGAAAGGACAATGTATCTTATCTAGACAAACTCGTTTCTAAATACATTCATCTCAGTTTAAAGACACTTTACTGGGAGTAGTATTGTCTTGCAGCTGTGGTATAAGTTCAGACACACCAAGAATACGGAGGAAACGTAAGGATGGAAAAGAGGGACAGAGGAATTTGTACCCAAAATAGGGACTGTCCCTTCTGAATTGGGACACTTGGGATGTATGTATACTTAACTAGTCCTTTTCAAACAAGTAATTGATTAACTAAAATAAATAAATGAATGAAGAGTTAAAGGGGAACTGTCACTTTTCTGAAAAGTACACCATTGAATGAAACATTTAAAATCGTCTATAAATTGTGTTAACTTTTTTATTTTATAAGATGTTCGTTTTCTTTTAAATTTGCATTACAAGAATCCTATAGCATTTGGAATACAAACCTCTATTCCTAACACTATAGTTCTCCTGTCCCTAGCACTACACAGGGACCTCAAGGTTTGCAATACAAATTTAAAAAAAGTTTTACTTACCTTTTTTCAGTCTCAAAACCCTTTAAATGCTGCTTACCTATTGGCCTCCCACAACATCACAATGGAGGCATGACCTCTTCCGTGATGATCCAATCCAATGTTCCTCATAGCGAATGCAGCAAGCACCGCACATCATGCATTCAGTTTGTGTGTGCATGTAAGTGGGCAGTGTGTATGTGTGTGTGTGTGTGTGGGATGCAGTTTATGTGTGTCTGAAGGATACAGTCTGTGTGTGTGTGTCGGGGGGGAGGTGCAGTGTGCGTGAGGTGTGCAGTGTATGTGAGGGGTACAATGTCTGTGTGAGGGGCACAGTGTGTGTGGGTTAAAGTGTGTGAGGCATGACCTCTTCCGTGATGATCCAATCCAATGTTCCTCATAGCGAATGCAGCAAGCACCGCACATCATGCATTCAGTTTGTGTGTGCATGTAAGTGGGCAGTGTGTATGTGTGTGTGTGTGTGTGGGATGCAGTTTATGTGTGTCTGAAGGATACAGTCTGTGTGTGTGTGTCGGGGGGGAGGTGCAGTGTGCGTGAGGTGTGCAGTGTATGTGAGGGGTACAATGTCTGTGTGAGGGGCACAGTGTGTGTGGGTTAAAGTGTGTGAGCAAGCACCGCACATCATGCATTCAGTTTGTGTGTGCATGTAAGTGGGCAGTGTGTATGTGTGTGTGTGTGTGTGGGATGCAGTTTATGTGTGTCTGAAGGATACAGTCTGTGTGTGTGTGTCGGGGGGGAGGTGCAGTGTGTGGGGGGTACAGTATCTGTGTGAGGGGTGCACTGTGTGTGTGTGGGGTGCTTTCTGTGTTTGGGGTACAGTGTGTGTGTGGGGGGGGACAGTGTGTTTGGGGTACAATATGTGTGGGGGTGTACAGTGTGAATGGTATAGTGTGTGTGGGCTACAGTGTGTGGGGTGGGAAATATGTGGGGGGTAGTGTGTGAATGTAAAAGTTTTTGTGTGTGGGGGGTAGGGGTAAAGATTAAAAAAAATATATATATAAGTATTTTTTTTTTAATTAAAATGAATAATCTTTAGATCCCCACCTCTTTTCTTACCTTTATGGAGGAAAGGGGGATCTTTCTTAATCCTTGGTGGTCCTCGTGGAGAATCCACGGTGGTTCTAGTGAAAAGGACCGTGGTAACCGCGGCAACGCTCCATGCTTGCGAGAGGAGGACCCGGAGGAGCTGCAGGCTGAGCTCCCGGGTCTTCTCGCCCTCCTCTGCCTGCTGTCAGCCATGTGCCTGTCGGCCGGAGGAGTGATCTCTGATCTCCCCTCCGGTCCGTGAAGGCGCATAGCAAGGCTGGTGCTTGGATAGGGGGTGAAATAGCAGGGCAAACATTGCAAATGAAGAGGAGAAATGGTTAGCTTGTTTCATTTTACATTTTCTCTGTATTCAAATGAGAGCACTTACAACAATTATCGACAGGAACCTAAGATGGAGGCGCGTAGATTAAAGTGTAGATTAAAAAAATAAAAATAAATTCTTGCTCACAAAAATATAGTTTTGAATATAGGGATAACTAAATATAAATCTGGGAAGTAACAGCACCCCCCTCCCCCCTCCTTCAAACACTATTGGTTTATTTAAAAGATACTCTTATTTTACATTTCAGAGTTCCATTTAAACAAAACATAGCATTAAAATTCTAATTTCCATCTAACTCATTTAGAAAATGAATATAAATTCCATGTGACATGGCTGTTCTAAGTATCTGCACTCATATCATACCTCCCAAGTGTCCCTATTTAGGAGAGACAGACCCTATTTGGGGCCCAAATGTCCCTCCTTTCTGTTCCAATGTCCCTCTTTTCTAGGAGCTCCATATTGTTGGTGTGTCTGGGCGTATAGCAGAGCTCCACAGCAATAATACTCCCAGCAATGTATCTTTAAACTACAATTAATGTGTTTAGAAATCAGTCTGTGTAAATAAGATAAGTTGTTCTTGTTCTAAATTACATTTTAGTTGCATACGTCACCTAGAATTTTTCAGAACAGCCGTCCCTGGCCACACCCCTAACATTGAAGTGTCCCTCTTTGGAGGTATGCCATCTTGTTTTTACCCCTGTACAATGTCTCCGTACTGACCACATTAGAGGTGTACTGGCTGAGGTAATCTCCCTGCCTCTAGGGGGAGCTCTTCATTAGAGATGTCGCGAACCGTTCACAAACTTCCCGCGAACGGCTCGCCGCGGTTCGCCACAAACCGTTCGCAGCGAGCTCTGGTCAGCTGACACATCCCGGCCAATCTCCAGCTGACCCTCCCTCCCAGACCCTCCCACCTCCTGGACAGCATCCATGTTGAAGGAGGTGGAAGGGTCTGGGAGGGAGGGTCTGCTGGAGATTGGCCGGGATGTGTCAGCTGACCAGAGCTCGCCACGAACTGTGGGAAGTTCGCGAACGGTTCGCGACATCTCTACTCTTCATATAAACGGACTAGGAAAGTTACAAATACGCCGCTGATGCAGTTCTATTAAATAGCCCAAATTAAATTAGTTCAGAGCAAAGGACAAACTCAGACAAGGGATATTAAGTCATAATTTGACTTGAGGAATTTATGCAAATTGAGACAGTAATGCACGGTCCTCCATTCTGTGAATAAGTGGTCATTTGTATGAAAGGTTATTTGTCACAATACTGATTTCTTGTCAAAATACCCCCGCCCTTGCTTCTTTGCCATTCTACATATATTTTTCAGAGCCTGTGACTTAACTGCAAGAAATCTGATCTGGTTATAATGAAACCCGAGACTGATGCTTAGCAAAGCAATGACGTGTAGCCGGAGTCTCTAAATTATAAAATACTGAGTTTCCAACAAAAAGGGACAGAACAAAAGAATATACCTGGGAAATTTCTAATCGAGTGGCCAGGGAGACCCTAAGATTATTAACTCTTTACTATGCAAGCTGCAAGTTCTGAGCTATCGACATTCCAATGGAGGCAGGCAAGTAAATTCATTTAATGCTGGTTCTTATACATCTGAAAAATGTGATAACTTCAAGAGACTTGCACTACCTGTATTCAAGCAGGAATGTAAATTACGATAAAATGTAAAAATAACCACCACATTGATCAGTCACGTTTACGGTTTGCCAATTTAGTCTAAAATTTACTTTTATTTTCTGCGCATCTAAATGATTAACCCTGAGAACTATTTATTGTTAACAATCGCGGCGATTGTAAGTTTTGAGCTAATATCGCCAAGCTGAAAATTAAATGGAAATAGAGAATTATTTACGGTTTGATTTATTTTAGCCCAGTAATTGCATTCTAAATTGCCAATATTTCTTGGTTTAAAGGGTCACTCCAACTACCATGACCACTTCAGTGACTTGGTAGAAAATGTTTCAATTTATAAATGCCAATACCTCAACTTGATAGCTCGAAATTAAAAAAACAAACAAAAAAAAACTATATATTAGAAAGGAAAAATAAATACATATGTAAAAATGTGTTCCTTTTTTATGTACTACTGCAAGTAAAAGAGAAATGTTTTAGTTGGGAATCAGGACTGCAGTAAATTGATTTATTATGGACCAACAAGACTGTACGTGAAATTTTTATTTAAATTGTATATTGATCTTTCTTTACCGCAGAAAGCTGGAGAGGATTTAAAATCTGTCGGATATTTAAAGCAAAAAAAAAAAATTGGTTTACCATTTTGTTTATTATTTTTATAAAAAAAAAAAGAAAAAAACAATATAATTATTATTTATGGTTATAAAGACACCTGTAAGTTCACAATGTAAAGGCCCTGTGCGTTTATATACAATGGTGTTAACCTCATGCACAGCATTCTGAAGTCAAAATGACTGACCTCCATATCCACTACAACATATTGTAAGAGTTATGGTGCAAGAAATCTCTGAATTCCGCCCCCCTCCCTTTCTGTCAAACTGTAAAAAGCAATTTTAAAAGCCTGTGGCCCCTCAGGTGCTGCTAAGAAAATGTAGGAGTCTTACGTTAGCCTGATTCGTACAAACCTGTCCAACATTATGCTTTAACTCTTATTATTTTTTTTTAAATCCTCCCTCCCTACGAGAAGCCGGTGATTGGATTGCTTGAGGCCCCCATTTGCTCTGGGGCATGGAAGTCATCGCGAGAGCTTTGCCCTGCGCTGGATTTAAGATAAGTCATATTAGTTGTTTTGTTTCCATGTTTCCTGCAAATTGGAGGGGGGTGATGGGACTTTCTCCATAGTGCCAATTGCCAAATTACACTGGAAAGCCGCCCTGCCACCCTCAAAAGGGTTGGAGTAATCCTTTAATATAAACACTCTTAGGATTGTAAAGTGGGAAATGTTTGAATTCAAAGTTAATTTAAAAAATTAGCTGAATTGGAGATTTTGTTTTCTGATTCCGCTATTCTGGACTTAAATTTTCAAATTCAATTTGAATTTGAACAATTTTCCCTTTAGTGTATAACCCTGTCCGTATGAAGCCAATTGCCATACTGTAAATTCTAGACAACTAATAATGGAATTGCAGGTATTTCAACTTGCCAACTTGGTGAATCTTTCATGTTTACCTATTTTATTTTGGCCTTTAACACCCTATTCAAATCTAAAGGACATTCAGCTTTGTAAATAAGATCCTGAGCATTTGCATTTATAGATGTGTAAAACATTTTGTAGAAGACAAACACCATCTATTTCATGTTCAAGTTTTCAGCCCTGTAAATAAAGCAATATTTGTATCCTATAAAGGACAGCGCAATATTTGGCGCCATGGCATATTAATTCACAGACCGTACAGGTGTGAAACATTTACCAACTGTCCAAGATTGCATTGATAGGAGTAAAGTCAAAGCTCAGCAAAATCGTACCTGTTTCAGGTGACCCAGAAAAGACACATTAAGATTTTTCATATCAACATCAATCAGTTTGACATTTGTAAGTGGTCACAAAGAAATCGCTTGGCGGACTGTTCAGAAGAAACTGCTATCGTAAAACAAAACCAGTGTTTAACTTGGTTTGTGTAAACAGCTTGGGATAGAATTCACTAATATCTCAGGAACACCACAGTTGCAAAAGAACTGGGGGGTAAATTAATTTCTGTGACAGATGCACCAAGGTAGACCTTTATTTTCATTTAAGTAAGAGAACGTGTTGTGGCTTGCTGTGCACAAGGTTTGCAAAGTTTAATATGTCCAAATACAAGGGTGGCCGAACGTAGACCCAAACTGTTGTAGAATATCTCTGATGATGCCATGTGAGCCTTTGATTCGCTCATGTGAAAAGGCTCTGACCTCTGACGAATACATTTGATGTATACCGCCAGACTTTTCCTGGGTCAGTGCAAAATTAAACAAACACTCCATCATTACAAATAAATTACTTTACGACTAACTGGACTATTACCAAGAACACTAGCTTGGGGGCAGTGGTGTATTTTGGATTTCTGCTGCCCTAGCCATGGCAAAACTCAGGCACAACCCCCAATATAAGTTTGCCCTGCCCCTTCCTGTCATGGCCACACCTATTCCTGTTTAAGACCAACACGCACTTGGACTGACAGACACACACTGACATGTACACACTCTCAGATACACATACTGTGATGTGCATTCACTGACAGACACACACTCTCAGACATACATTGATAGACACACACACACACACACACACACTCACTGATGGACACACACACATGCAAAAAAGGCAACTGTCAGTCTTGGGGGGGCCCTGAGGTGGCCAGTCAGCCAGCTCTTGGGCTCCCATGAAATGAGGTTAACAGGGCATCTGCGAGGGCACTTGGAGGACCCCCTGAAAGTGCAGACTAAGGCAAATGACTGGTTAGCCTCTTGCTAAATACAGCCCTGATCAGGGGTACATTATGTATCCCTTCCAGGCCAGTGGGGAGAACAAATTATCTTCCAGTCAGCCCAGGGCACCTGACTTGTGTGGGAGTGTGATCCGCTCCCCCTCCAGCTGAAGATTACAATCAGAGTTCCTTTTCAATAGATCGGAACAGAGGTAGCATTGACAGTAACCGGCACCTGTCTATAGACCAAAAGCTTCCTTGCACCATGCCGGGACAGTTGGGACATTACAAACTTGCAGATCCCTGTGCACACACAAACGCCCATCAGTCAGAGACGTGTTTTTTTTCCCCAGAGCTGTAATAATCCTAGTACCAGCCCTGCTGACAGTCATGGGAGTTATAGTCTCAGGTTGTAAGCTCATTTAAGCAGGGCTCTCGTCCCAGCTTGGTTATGAAGACATTGTATGGTTTGTCAATGTGTTTTAGATCTCTTTATTAAAAGGTTAAAGCTCAGTGGAATAGGTTATATGGTGCTATATAAAATAACGTTTGATATAATAATGTAAGAGCAGGAGCATTACCTCGCGCTACCCTTTGTCACCGTCCCCTTTACCAGAGATTTACATACCAAATCCACCAAAGATTTACATACCATTCTTTACATCAAGCTCACTCAAGGGTGAACTGACAAGTCCTCTATTCTGACATGGACTGAGGGCCTGCCCCTAGAGGGGGTCCATGCACGGACTAGCATGTGAGCAGATTGACAGCATGTCCACCATCAACCAAGACAGTCTTTAACTTTAAGAAAAAAAAAAAAGAAACGGAACAAAATCTAACATTAACTACCTTATAATAGTTTGGATATTATATATATTATTATATTTCAAACAGACGTTGACTATAAGGGCTTAATAACACTCTAGTAAGTTGTAGAATTCCTATGCTGCAGGTTCAAAATGTAATTGTTAATCAAGTATGAATCCAAAAGGAACAGCCTTAATTAGTTCGACTTATCTTGTGCAACATGTGAATGCTACATACCAACCGCACTTTTCACACGTTGACCCACAGAGTTCAGAAGTGTTTTCTGCAGACAAACATAGCAAATCTGGGCACACTAACTCCAGAATCTGGTTGTTAATCCCAAATAAATAACTTTATGATCTTGATATACCAGGTAAGAATTTAATCAAGAATTAAAAAAAAAAAACAATAAAGAGGGAGGAAAAAACAACAACAAACAAAAGTAAACTGTAATTTGATTTTATTTTTCACTTTGACATTTTCAAATAAAATATCATGCAATCTGCCAGTGTATCCATATAGTTTTCATATCAAGAGCTGGCGAAGCATCTTGAGAGAGAAACCTTAAAAGTTTATTTGCCGTTGGAAACATTGTTGGATAGATTACATCACAGATCAGCCCAAGAGCAAACGGTCAGTTGCTTGATACGTCTCTGACGCAGTATCGGTCGGTAACGTTCTGCTCCACGAGATTGTTCAAAAGTCCTAAAATTAAACACTACTATACAGATACATGGAGCTAGGCGAATACATCTGGTTTGCACATCACACACTTTACAATCTAGACACGGAAAAAACACTACTCTCCAACAATGAACATGAAAAATCAGCGACAAAACTAATTACATCGACGAGGTCGAATTGGTAGAAAATGTTTCAATTTATAAATGCCAATACCTCAACTTGATAGCTAGAAATAAAAAAAAAAACGAAAAATAAAAATAAAAACGATATATTAGAAAGGAAAAATAAATACATATGTAAAAATGTGTTCCTTTTTTATGTACTACTGCAAGTAAGAGAGAAATGTTTTAGTTGGGAATCAGGACTGCAGTAAATTGATTTAATATGGACCAACAAGACTGTACGTGGAATTTTTATTTATATTGTATATTGATCTTTCTTTACCGCAGAAAGCTGGAGAGCATTTAAAATCTGTCGGACATTTAAAGCAGGATTTAAAAAAAAAAATTTGGTTTACCATTTTGTTTATTATTTTTATTAAAAAAAACAAAAAAAACAAGATTATGATTTATGGTTATAAAGACACCTGTAAGTTCACAATGTAAAGGCCCTGTGTGTTCATATACAATGGTGTTAACCTCATGCACAGCATTCTGAAGTCAAAATGACTGACCTCCATATCCACTACAACATATTGTAAGAGTTATGGTGCAAAAAATCTCCGAATTCTACCCCCCTCCCTTTCTGTCAAACTGTAAAAGCTATTTTAAAAGCCTGTGGCCCCTCAGGTGCTGCTAAGATAATGTAGGAGTCTTACGTTAGCCTGATTCGTACAAACCTGTCCAACATTATGCTTTAACTCTGAGCAATGGAACCAGCGTAGGCCAATTCATAGAACAAAAATTCAGGCAGATTTTTATTTAATTCAATTTAAATCTACTTTTATTTGTAGGGATGAATGTACTTAAAACCTTTTTCAAAATCTATTTATAAAGCTATTTTTTTTTAAATTAATTTACTAACAATAAATTTTTTTTACTGCACAAAATAATGTTGGAATGAAATAAAGTTTGACAAAGTGATCTTCGATAGCCCATTATATACTAGAAAGTCCGACTGGCTGATCAGATACTAGTTTGGTCTTTGGGTTGTCCAAGTCACCTTATTCTAAAACCTTAAATTTCATAGTCCAAACCAAAACCTGCGTAGACACTCCTAAAATGAAAGAGGCCAATTATATATAAACATATTCTCCTCTTATGGAGACACATTTTTATATCTTAAGATAATTTTTTGTTGTTGCACTGCCTATATTATAAATGCATGCCAGTAGTTTCACAACAGTTTTAGGCATGGCAGTTTTTAAGCCCAAATTATTCAGTTATCTGTTGAGAGTTGACATAACAGTTAGAATTCCTGAAGGGTATACCATAAAACAGACCTGAAACATTTAAACGGTTTAAAATGATTTAGAAGTATACAGCAAGGAATAGAATTTTAAAATACCATTGCATTCTGATACTGGAGCATCTCCTGATTTATTGTCCATCCACCCCAAAGGAAAAAGTGGAGGCTCAACATCACAAAAAGGGGCCTCTACAGTACTTAAAGAGGTTAAGGGAAGGCGATTTTTATTATCTGTGGAATTTATTGTCTTAATCATGCCTTAAATAACTCCTAGTTTTCATCTCTCTTGCTTTCTGCGGTTCCTTAATGATATGCTTGCTTCTTTGCGCTCCAAAGAGGTGACACAAGAATTGGTCGCCTCTCTGAGAAGCCAGATCATCATATATGTCCATGTGGTGGAAGAAATGTATTCCTCGAATCCTACATCTGACACGTACAGTTATTCTGGATGCTCCAGTGCCACAGTTACATAGTAAAGAAAAAAAAAGAAAAAAGAAAAAAATCGACACATACCATAATAAATACAATCGAATCACAAAATTTGCCAAAATGAATAAATAGACTCAATGTGAATACAAAATGAATCATTACAGAGAGAAAACACAAAATTTGAAATTTAGATACAAATAAGAGAGAAAAGAAGAAAAAAAAATGATCTTACATCAGCCTGTGGCTCTTGCTCCTAGTTTATGTCCTTATAAATAGTTTCCATTTTTCTATTGTCAAAAAAGTAAACATGTTCTGTAATAAAGAAATACATACTCTATTTCTTACAGCCTACACTAGCAAAGAGCAAGCATATAGCGTTCCGGCCGCAAGACCCTACTAGGGTGACCTTCAGCCAGTCTGAGAGTGGTGGGAGATGAACAGTCAGAGGACTATAAATTACCCATCCCTGGATCACACACTGGCAGTTTCTTCTTGTGAAAGAAACTTTAAACTGGCACATAAGGGTTTGTAAAAAGGCATACAAGTCATATTTTCGTAAATGTAATGAAGCACGGCAAATTGACTTTGGGAGCTGCCATTTTGGCAGGTTATAGAAGGGAAGGCTAGTTCTATACATTCATTTCTCTGTCATGTGCTTAGCCTAACACAAAAGGATTATGAAACAGTGCCAACTGCTCTCGTTGCGGGAGTTCAGACTCCCATCGATGGGAAGAATGTCACATACCCGTGTAGCAGCCAATCGCATTGCAGAGACTTCTATTATACCTTTGCTGCGAGCAAAACAGCAGGATATAAACACCTATACACATTTCGTCTGCGGTTTATCTCACGACCAGCAAATAGTATAAATAGTATTTATTCTCAAATGCTATACAATGAAAAAAAAAATTACAGCCCGACTTCTGAATTCATGAAGAACATTTTCAAAACATCCAAATATTTTAGAATGTAACAAATTTCTTTAAAATAACCCTCTAACTTCCAGAGGACCCTTGTGTTTCAAGGTCAACAGAATGGCTTTCATTTTCTACATTTTTGAGCCTAAATCACCGTGTAATGTTGGTACCAGGATATTATTTATTTATATGTGTTTAGCTTACTTTTTATTCTTTATTTATGTTAATGAAGTCATGTAGTATAGCAGCACACTGTTGTGTTTTGTTTAATAAATATACAAAATAACATGATTTTATTATACAAGATATCGGTGATTGGTGCAAGACTCCAGTCTAGCACACCTTTGAATTTGTTAATCTTTACTAGAGGGAGGGTAAAATCTAGCAAAGCAACGGGTGCTGACAAAATGGTGAGACATTGCCCTGATGAATTTTCAATAAGACCCTTAAAGGCGTCAAACTGCAACAATGTCTACAAAACAGCAGAACTCTATACAGTACCAGGAAATAGGTGTTCTAGAGCTGTACTGAAAGGTTTAGTCCTCTGCCTTGATGGATATGTGCGATACATTACATATGCGATAAACAGGCATCTGTACATAGATGGGGGATCAGTGAACCATTCTGATCCGAGACGGATGATTGCTGAGAGCGCAGAAGGACGAGGTGGAAACTACACGTGTAAGAATGGCTCGCGTGGAATTAACATCGGTGGAGTAACATGCGCCGCAGTGATCTCTGCACAGAAAAACATTAAAAATATATATAGTTAAACTGTTGGATCAACAACCATATCAACCACACTCAAATTCGTATGTAACAATTTACCATTCACTTAATATGCTTTTTTTGGGTCATATTTGCTCAGTAAACATTTTCATCTTATCTCTCTGGCTTGTTTTAGAGATCACTACAATGTGTTTGCATTCTAGTTTTTAAAACCTTCACACAGTGACGCGATTGTCGTTTGTAGGCTTTGCATATTTTGTAAAGACCCCGGATGGTAACTGCTCTGCTGGATGTCCGATGGCGACGGGCTGCAGTGAAGTTGAGGTTTACTCACTTGAACCCGTCACTTCCTGACTGTCTTCTTCAGCTCCAAGCATTTCATCTGTCAGGAGCCCAAGGATCCTCCGTAAACCATGCCTTTTTCCATAAAACCCTCACTAGCGACAATGACAAAAAGTATAGGTAATATACCAAGACAAAGTGAAATTTCTGTGAAATTCCAACATAATCAATGTGAGAATTTCAGAATGATTTTAGATTTATGAAATACTAATTTTGAAGGGGGGTAGGAGGTGACAGAGCCACTTTAACAAAATAACCTGTCAGCCCTGAGTTTTGCAGAACACAGTAATCGTGGAAACACAGGAACCTCATATCAGTTTATACATCCCCCTGTCTGTAAACCAACCTATGGGTATGTTTCCTTCGGTATAAGAATTGTAAAAAAACAAAAAAGGAATATAGGTATGTTAAGATAACCAGTTTTTATTCTCTTCAACCAGATTATTATTATTATTTTTATAGTGCATATAAAATTAATCTAATATGGAACACAAGACTAGTGTGGCATTATGGGAAATGTAGTTTCCAACATTGGTGTGCCAATATCAGCAGTCACTGAATATTCACCAAATGTGAAAAATACTGGCCAGTAAATGAAGGTTCTAGGCTTCACTGATTTCGAAGTTTATAGAGCAAACCTTTCTCCATTACTCTTGCCAAATGATTTTCGTGATCTCAAACGCCATGTTTACACAATGCCTGCAGCATGCAGCAAAGCGCGTTACAGCGATCTCACCAGACCATGGAGAGATTTCAGCCCACCACTGAAAGGGTTTTTGTTACGGGGAAAATAGTTTATCCTGCAAGACTGCACTAGAATTCAGTCCTGTTTTCCTTCATTGTGTAAATGTTAACAGAGGAATGTGTTCTTTTGATCACCTTCTCACTTGAGGCTAGTCATTACGTTTCTTGAAAAAACAAAGTCAATCATATTTTAAATCAAGAAAATAAAATAAGCACACACTTCCAAACCTGAAAATAACTTTTTTTTTTTGTTTTTTTTGTTTTGTTTTTTAAACACAAAAACGAAAAAAAACAAACACTCAACATTCAAAAAAAAAAATTGTACAGGTTTGTTTACCAACATTTGGTTATATTTGACATAACTAAAGAGGGTCAAATATGTATGCAATAGCTACAGGAAATTCCAGTGTGAATCTATGAAATTGTCATAATGCAGGCAATAAGTGAAGCAGATAAAAAGCCTGGAATCACTGAAAAGTCAAAGCCGCATTTTGATTAGATCATTTAGAATACAGCTAGAATTCAAACCATGGTGCCAGACAAAAAAAAAAAAATACTCTGAAACCTGTGCATACATTTAGAGTGTGCAAAAAAGGGACAATCCTTGTAGACGTTCTTTGTAGAATGTGACATTGTAGCACCACCTAGAGGATTAAAAAAGTTGCTTCCTCTACAAGTGCACAGAATCAAACAAAAAAAAACTCAAAATCATTGTAAAAGGTTTCCAAAGATGAAAAAAACTATTTAAAAATTATATTTTACAGTGGAATATCCTGTTGCATCACAGATTAATCTATTTTCTCAGGACTGTCAGCAGACAGTATGACATCCTGCAGTCCCAGTCACCATTCTGTTGGTTGGAAGGTGTGTAATCCTCAAAAAACAGCTAGTCTGGTTAAATAAAAGAGAGACTCACTTGTTTATTTATTGCGATGGTAATAGGAAGAATGAACAGAGCCGTCACCACCACCGCGCACTGAGTGAGCTGCTGTAGGAGACGATACTTGATAATGGCCAGGGCGGATTGGCTTGGCTATAAAAAAACAAAAACAAAAAAAATATACAAATGTATACACACAGAGGCAGACATAGGCATGCGCAACACATCATTAGGATGTGCACACAAGGATTTGATTTTCTCGTGATAAGATTACTTCATTAACTGTTTGAAGATAAGTCACAAACTACTTCAGACACAGAAAGTGAAGTTACGACAGGTAGAACAGTTTGGACCTTCATAAAGGTGTGCATAAAGCTACGGATAATAGCTGCACACAACAGTACTTAAATCCAAATACCGCACCCCACTGAGTGGGCATTGTAGTTAAACAGCACCAAGACTGTTTTGTTTTTAGGGGGCAACACCCTGACACCCCTAAAAACAAGAGGGCCCAGCACCAGTCAGCTAGAATTCTTTGTTAAACTGAAGATTTAGGGGAGGACATTCCCCTGGCTATTTTTTATTATGGACTCGAAATAAAACACTGATGGGAGAATGATTTGATACATATTTGTGACAATCACCTATTATTGATATGAAGATGGATGCACCTACTAGGTGGTGACATTTTTGCAGAACCTATAGTGACCTGCAGAGTGCAACTGGACAAATTTGAATCCAGGTCAACAGAACTAGACTCGAGAAACGAGATATGCTCACCAATTTGGGCAGAGTGGGCCCTTCTTGCCAAATTCTTGGCTCTCACAGCCTCCTTGATGCGATCTACCTCCTGCTGGTACCTCTTGCGATCACGCATGGCACTCTCTTTGGCTTCCTTGAGTGCAAATTCCAAAGCCTTGACTCTCTCAGCTGTAGCTCGAAGACGTTTCTCCAATTTTGGAAGCTCACATCGCAGATCTGCATTATCACGTACAAGCTGCAACACAAGCACAAAATTAGAAGTATCTGCAAAGTTTCTTAGCACAATTAAAATAAGGTCAAAGGTCATGTTTGGAAAACCCAAATACTTAGAGTAGTCAATGTAGCAAGTAATCTAAAAAAAATGGTGCACATATCAAAGATGGGAAAACCAAACTGAGCAGCAGGGATAGAGGCAGACAGACTTCTGCAGGAATGTGTTTCACCATTAAAGGGATCCTATAGTGCCAAGAAAACACTATATTGCCTGTTTTCCTGGCACTGTAGGGTTAATAGTTCCCACCTCCATCGAGCTGCCCACCCCTCCCTTGGGGCTGAAGGGGTTCAGCCACTACCTGAATCTAGCGCCGATGTCCCTCGGCGCTGGGTCAGGCTGACACCGGCGGGGGAGACCTAATGAGCATGCGCGGCAATGGCCGCATGCGCGCATTAGACCTCCCAATAGGAAAGCATTATTTAATGCTTTTTTCTATTGAAAAATCTGACGCTGGAGGTCCTCGTGCAAAGCGTGAGAACATCCAAAGTCAGATAATGGACCAAAAGTCAGTTTGGATTCTGGAAGCCCTCTAGTGGCTGTCTGGTAGACCGCCACTGAGGGCAGTCTTGGAGCTGCAATGTAAACATTGCCGTTCTCTGGAACTCCAATGTTTTACATTGCAGCACTAGGTGCAAAAGGGACACAGCACCCAGACCACTTATAGGAGCTGAAGTGGTCTGGGTGCCTACAGTGTCTCTTTGGCAGGGATATTACAAAGTGACAGCAGGCCTCCCAACAATCCGATTTCAGCACCACAGTCCTGATTTTCAGGTCTCATCCCACCGTCCCAACCTAGTTGCCTGGTGTCCCACATTTAGGGATACTAGAAAATTGTACATAACAAGCATAGCATGCGCACATCATCAGATGGCCTCACACTGTTCTTGGGGCACTAGGACCCTGCAGAGAAACAGTGTCCCAAGCGACTAACCATGATAAATGCATTTATGTTGATATTCAGCTGGTTAATTCCTCAGACAGATCATATTAAAGAAACTATAATTGTATATACCATAATACTTTAAATCATTCCCCATAAAGGGACTTTGGAGCCATTTCTGGAGAAGCAAACTATGTGGAATTCTCAAGAATGCAAATTTGACTGGACTGAGAGTGGACAGAAGCATGGAAAATGATAAGTCCAGAGACTGCCATGTTAAAAGGTCTCACAGGGTTTATTGCCAATTCAATGTAAATTTCAAATTAAAGGCCAAAAAATATCAACTGAGCTTCCAGTTTGGCTACTTTGGCCTTAAATTTGAAATTAATTTTGAATTGAATTAATTAATACCCTGATAGTATGATTGGTCAGTGAAAACTTTATATATTTATACATTTCTGTAATTCCTCAAAGTGGGCAGATGAATAAAACCCATTATATTAAAAAGAATAGAACGGCTATATATTGTGTGCCAAGAAATAACTATTCTGTACGCCTATTCATCAGATCAGCAAACAGTAAATTTGTGGTTTTCTGGGTTGGGACAGTTATAAAGTTTTAAGCAATAAGTGGAAATTCTTTTTTTTTTTACTAAACTGAAGTTCTTTATTTTTTCCAAAACAGGACATATTATACATTACATACATAACCATTGGCAGACATTCACAGAATACATACAAAATGCTTCGATTTTTCGAACTTCAAAATACAACAGTATCTACTAGACCGCAGAGCTGTGAACACCCACAAGCTTCATGAACATGTCTAGCGGTTGCGTACATAGTTGCCAATTTGTGGTCGCTTCCCCTTCTTTACATGCATTTTAAGTCATCCCGCTTGGTGTTTATAAACCGAAGTTTTTAAATCTCAAATCAATTTGTTCTCCAATGTAAGATACACTGACATAGTGGGTAGAATTAGTTTTCCTGAACGTTTCAGCATTCTAGTGACATCTGCTGGTGATTCTAGAATACTGTAGCATGAAATGGAACACTAAACACCATACATCTCTCTAGGTCAGGCATAGACAGCCTTTGGCACTCCTGATGTTTTGCACTATACCTTTCATAATGCTTTGCCAGCATTATAGGTGTAAGAGCATTATGGGGGATGTAGTCCACAACATCTGGAGTGCCAAAGGTTGCCTAACCCTGCTATAGTTTATGGTGCTTGCAGGCTGCTAGCACTGCCCCCTGGACCTGAACCAAACCAAGTCAAGTGGTTTTTAACAAAATCAGAATGTCTCAAGGGTGATTGGGCTTGGCTTCTTGCTCATGGCATTGCTAGTGTGGAAATTACGAGCTTAACCAGACAAAGTGACTTTGGAACCCTTGTTTTGAGTCAAACAACTCAAAATGGTTTTGACACAATCCTGGAGGACAGCACCCTAACTACAACAGGCTGTAGTGGCCATGGAGCCCCTTTAAGAGTAGGGCTCAAGATGAGCAAAGAAGAAATAAAAAAAATTTAAAAAGTTACCTATTCCGGAACCATTACTCAAAAAGATCTTCATTTAAAATACTTTTTAAGTGAACACAACTATTTCTGTAGTTTATTATATACTGGAAATAGGACAAAGTGATGTGTAGAGTCCCACAAGGGGAAACTAACATCAGGAGAGCTCCACTGGTATAAGAAATGAGGAAGAGGGGCCCTACCTCTAATCAATCTAAGGATAAAAAGGGATATGCAAAAAAAAAGTATAACTTGATAAAAGGGAGATCTACCAAACGGTGCCTCGGGATTCCATTATCTGAAGAACTAAATAGCATCTAAATTCCAGTTCCCCTAGTCTCCGACTGACGGGAAGGTAGTGTAAATGAGGTTAGGGAGAGCGAAAAGGCACAGGGTCCACAGAGAACAAGGGACCAGGTAACCTGGTCTAAAAGCAGATGAAAAGCCTCAAAGAAAAAAAAAAAATCTCTCAAAATAAAAATGCTACCAAGTTCAGTGATTAAAGAAAAAGAAAACAGGCTCCTGATGACAGCGTTTTGAACACGCCGAAACGCATGTTGAGCGTTTTCTTTAATCACTGCACTTGGTAGCACTTTTGAATTTTTGTTACCACTATGGTTATTGATTTTTAGGTGTTTATTTATTTAGAAACTTTAGTAGGGAGAATTGGTTCAGATAGACACTAGTGGTCAGACCACGGTGTCGAGGTAACTCTTAGGGTGAATCGAGAGATTTTTTTTTTTTCTTTGAGGCTTTTCACCTGCGTTTAGACCAGGTTACCTGGTCCCTTGTTCTCTGTGGACCCTGTGCCTTTTCGCTCTCCCTAACCTAGTTTACACTACCTTCCTATCAGTTGGACACTAGGGGAACTGGAACTTAGATGCCATTTAGTACTCCAGATAATGGATGCCCTGAGCACGGTTTAGTAGATCTCCCTTTTTAAAAGTTATACGTTTGGTTTGCATATCCTTTTTATCCTTAGATTGATTAGAGGTAGGGCCCCCATCCTCATTTCTTATACCAGTGGAGCTCTCCTGATGTTAGTATTCCCTTGTGGGATTCTATACATCACTTTCTCCTATTTCCTGCATATTTTGGAGGGTTTCCCCCTTACTGGAGCTCCCTATTAGGTGGTTAAGGTGGTGCAGCTCACGACCCCTTGACTTGTATCCGGACTTATGACCTGCACTCTATTTACTTTATACTTTATTTCTCCATTTTGTGTTTACTATGTATTGCCAAAGCATAAATCCTTAGATACTGAGACACTGGTTAACCAATCACAAGCACCAAGTATTATTCAAAGCTTGTTTTTAGGCGTTCAGTTAAAATTCATCTTGAATTCTATTTTAATTACTGGGGAGTTTTTTGTTTTGTTTTTAAGGAGCACAGACTTTAGAACAAATTTCTAATTTTAGGTTTTTAGTTTTTTTGTGTGTAAATGATGATTGGATTAGAATTATGAATCATACATAAATAGTATAAAGGACAATACATATTTGGAGTCTCACCTGCTTATGAACTTTGGTGAGCTGTTCGAGGTTGTTTTCAAGAAATGAGATTTTTTGTTTCTGAGCTGCACTTCCCCCTCCATCATCGCTGTCCAGTTCAACGCTCTAATAACAACAAAAACACTTTTAATGAAATATGAAAGCAACACAATTTGTATTTATACTTGCTTCAATATGTTCATTTACATAATTTTCCCTACCATATATCCATTAATTTTAGAACCCAAGATTGTAACAGGGACGCTCAATGGAGGAGAGAGAAAGCAAGTGTTGATCTTTGAATTTGGTTCTTAAGCAATTTCGCATGGGATATTTACTGATGAAATCATAGACCAATTAAAATAAAACAAAAAGTCTGAAACCTACCTTTTTGACTCTCATTGTGAGATCCTGAACAAAAAGCCTGCGCAAGTTGTGCAAGGTTTGAAGTTCTCTGGCCTACGGAAAGAATAAAAGTAAGAAAATACATCAATATTTCACCAGGTTTAAATTGCCCCATGCCAAAAAAAATTAATATATTTTAGGGAAAAGTCTACAGGTTGCCAACAGGGAAGAACTTAGATCATGATTCAGCACAGCAATATGAGCTTTTTTGAATAGTCAGAACGTGGTCTGAAGGAAAGTATCCAGGATCCACCTTCAAGTTTTAGGAAGAGAATGCATTTTCTTCAGATGCATGGCATGACTAACATCAGATCATCGCTGCAAGCAGGACATGCCCAGAGGGGAAGAGGTTATTTACTGCTTGGTTCCCGTTGCAATCCCCACATGCCATTAGCACAATAATTTTTGCCATTGCTATTCACTATAGTGTGAATTGTCAGGGATTTCTAGTGAATTTCAAATATTTTGCCAAAATGGACAAACTGAAAACAGTAAAAAGAAATCTTCACAAAATTGGCCATTTTGGCTTAGAATTCAAAATTCACTTCCCTGGCAGTACCCAGAATAATTCTGTATAACTCCAATTAGAACATTGAACCACATTACAGGATAGGTAGAGCTAAATCTATTCACAATATGGCCTTAACTAGGTTCATTAACATTTCCCCAAGATATACAAGGTTGATAGTGGGAGGTAAAGGTCCATTGCAGCAACAAACACACTTTTTGGTATATCAACACCAGGGAGTCAACCGAGAAAGGAAGAATTGTGACAACACATTTCATTAATGCTTTAAGAGACATGGCCAAGTTTGACAAATCAAAAATATAGGAGAAATTATTCTCTAGTTTCTTCCATCTACAGTATATATTCTAATCACAATCATTGGTCTTTCATTCATTTATATTCTTTAAGAGAATGTTGGTGACTTCAGGACAAGAAAAGAATTTGCAATTAACTAGCTTTTCCAACAAGTATAGATTAAAGAAGTCCTGATTACAGTAAAATGGATAGGACATAGTATGTATGCAATATCTTTCCTTGGACTGACTATTGCAGAGGTATTGGAATAGTCAGGCTAAGGAAAGATCTCACATACATATTAAATACTTCCAATATCTTACCATGAGCAACATTGCAGCCAGGAATTTGGTTTGGGCTCTTGTATATTTTAAAGCCTCTATAAAGTACTTTAAAAAAATATATATATTTAAAACAATACCAAAATATTACGTTTATAGCAGACATATTCCGAGATACTATTCCTCACCAATTACGTTTAGTTCCACATGGACCAAGCAATGTGTTACAATAACAAGCCTAGTTCAGTCTGCCGTTGTGTGGACAGGACAGTGCCAGACTTCTAATGGTCAAACTGTTTGTTCATTTGAAAACAGGAAGCCTTGTATCTTTTAAAGATCAATGTATATTTGTAACCTTATTATGCGCATGCAATCTGGTTATGAAGAGTCAGCTGGTGACTCCATTAGATGAAATGACCTCAACATGCCTTACTGTTTGGAGGGGAGGACACATGAAGCTGATGTATCTTTTCAGATGAACACTACAACCAACATTTACATACCACGGTTTCTTCCAGGCCTTTAAGGTCTTCACGGGATTGTTCTCTTTTTTCATTAAGTAACCTGCCAATTAAATAGAAATAATGAATAAAGAGAGGGGATGATTTGGTCCATGTCACTTCCCCTAGTTACACCAACCCCACCAATCACTTCCTCTAGTTACACCATCCAACATTTTCAGGACCACTTAGATCCATGATATTTCCAGGAACCCCCCCCCCCACCCCACGCAAAAACAACAACAAAAAAAAAAAACAAACACAAAAATAATTCGTAGACAGCAAATACAAACTACATAAGCTAACTAACTGAGAAATAAAAAAAATAAAAAACCTTACTTGGGAAGTGAATGCAACTATCTTTATTATTGAATTATTTGATCTGTAATGTTCATCCAGAAACATATTACTCTTTAATATTATTTAGTACCTCTACCAGGTTTTAAGAACTAAAAAAAATGAGAAAAATATGCTGTGCCTTGTTCTTATTCTTTTTATATGGCTTTCTCAGGTCATATGAATTTTACATCGGGTGCCAAATACCCAAGATACAGCCTGACCTAAGAGAAACTAAACAACGGTCTGGTATTACATGGAGTATGGTATAGGAAATGTGTCTGGCATTGTGAATACAGGCTGCCCTGACGTGTGGACCAGACAGATGAGCTCATAATATACCAGAAGTGGGGTCGGCGTGGACCAGATATAACGGCATAAGGAGGCAAAAACAAAAAGATGATGACAAGATAGACTTTTCTATAATGAACGCTCCAGAACCAAGTGAGAAGACAAGTTTGCCTAAAAGTAGAGACGATTTGGAAACACAATGTTGCAGTTGAGGATTTGGCTTTGCCCATTACAAAACAGTGAGGAGGACAAATGGGATTTAAAAAAAAAAAAAAAAAAAATACCCCCATTCACCACTACAAATGCTATGATGTATCAACTTTGATCAGTTTGTTCTGTCCTTCAGACAAACATTTCAGATTCTAGATCCACCATATGTAGCCCACACCTTCTGCAGAGTCATCGAAGACAACTTACACCAGATTCTGCAGTTCCATCTCTCTCTGTTGGTCCTCGGCTTGGAGTTTCTCATAATCCAAGGTCAGTTTGTCCTTCTGCAGCTGCAGCTTCTGATTAAGACTTGAATGGGAAATAAAGAAGGCAAATGGGTTCAGAGATTATCTGGAAAATTAATTTGCGTCATAACATTTAGGGATTTACCATCTAGAATGAACAATGAAAAATGATCATATCACATGTTGGAAATTCAAGTCAAAAAAAGGAACTGCAAACATTGCAGATTTCTTCCACTTTGGCTTATTATGGACTCACATTTGAAATTCACATTTAATTCCGCACAATTTGCACTTTGGTGAATAATCCCGCTTTCTAGGTTTGCCATTATAAATACAGCCCCTAGTGTGGCAATTACAAACACACAGTATTAAGGTCTGACTACAGTATTCATCAGCGCAGATACATCGATCAAAAGCCAAAAAAAATTACCTGATCAGATCAGATTATTAATGTAGCACTGCACAAATATTATGGTTATGACATTAGAAGAAATGTTTGAAAGTTTTTTTTTTTTTTATGTATTTTGTTATATAGAACCATAGTACAATAATATGAAATGGAGCCGATTTTAAAATCAAAGAATATTAAAAGAGAAAAACCTCAACGTTAAACAGTCTTTTTATTTAAAAAAATAAAAAATAATAAAAAATAAAAAAAATCTCTCTTTATCCACATGTTCAAGTAAATTACAAATATATTTATATCACATAACAGTTTAGGCTTACACTTCACATTATTTAATTCACGTGATCATAAAGTTCATCTATTAGTGTGTTACGTCAATATGGAACATTTAAAAGTATAACCTAAAAATGATAAATGAAGACAAAAGGACCAGGACATACACACATTGCATACCCAATGCAGACCAGGAGATTAGCTTTCCTTATTTCCTATACTTAACTTCTTTTCTATTGCAAGAAATAATTTCTTAATTCATCGGTTTTTCATCTGGCCTAGCCAGCGATCAAAAAGATATTTTTTTATTTTGTTGTTGAGAATTTAAATTAAACCTTTCCTTTTCCATCCAAAACCGAAAACTATTTAAATTTCAAATTGTGTTTCTTCAGAATCAAAAGGATTGGTGCAAAAGTTATTTTTTGTCTAGACCTAAATGAAAGATCTGGAAGAACAATTATCATTGAATATCGTCCTTTATCTCGGTTAGCCTGGAGTATTCTTTCTTTAACTTCATAAGTATAAAAACTTGCAACGACGTCTCTGGGCTGTTCCGTTGAAATACTTTGTGGTTTGAGAATTCTGTGGCATCTTTCTATTAATTATTCTTTATCATTAAATGCTGTAACATTCTTTTAGAATACATCTTAAATCTTCTTCTTTAGATTTTTGTTCAAGGTTACGAAATCTTAAATTTCTGTTTCTGGAGCGATCTTCCAAGTCATTTATTTGGGAGTCTGTATAGGATAACTTGTCAACTTGATATTTTTTTATTTTACGGATTTTAATTGAAGATCTTTTTCTTTTCTCATTTCTATTTCTGCAAAATCTTCGCTAGAAAGAGGTTATCTAGTGGATAAATTAGCTTTTTCTTTTACATTTTGTAATGAAAAATATATTGAGAGACTTATCTTGTTTTTGTTCTTTTTTGTCTTTTTTTTTTTGCAGTTTTAAATTCTTGTTTTCTTTTAGTGGCCAGTTATTAATTGTTTCTATTATTCCACTTTTTTCTTCTCGTCTCTCTTTCTTGCCTCTCTCTATTTTCCTTACTACTTCTCCTTTTTATATTAATGTTACTTTAACCGTTAATCTTTGTGATGATTTTTCATGTATCTTTATAGTCTGTTTTTTTTCCTTTGCTTCCTATATTTGTTAGTTTGAATTATACACCTTAATGATAAAGGTACCAGAGACTCGGTGATAGGCAGGAGAGTAATTACTATTTGATGATTTTAAGGAAATCCCATCACTCTCAGTCAGACAAACTGTGCAATCACCACATATTATGTACATTAAATCTTAAAGGAACACTATAGTCCCCTAAATTACTTTAGCTAAATAAAGCAGTTTTAGTGTATAGATCATTCCGCTGCAATTTCACTGCTCAATTCACTGTCATTTGGGAGTTAAATCACTTTGTTTCTGTTTATGCAGCCCTAGCCACACCTCCCCTGGCTATGATTGACAGAGCCTGCATGAAAAAAAAACTGGTTTCACTTTCAAACAGATGTAATTTACCTTAAATAATTGTATCTCAATCTCTAAATTGAACTTTAATCACATACAGGAGGCTCTTGCAGGGTCTAGCAAGCTATTAACATGGCAGGGGATAAGAAAATCTTAATTAAACAGAACTTGCAATAAAGAAAGCCTAAATAGGGCTCTCTTTACAGGAAGTGTTTATGGAAGGCTGTGCAAGTCACATGCAGGGAGGTGTGACTAGGGTTCATAAACAAAGGGATTTAACTCCTAAATGGCAGAGGATTGAGCAGTGAGGCTGCAGGGGCATGTTCTATACACCAAAACTGCTTCATTAAGCTAAAGTTGTTCAGGTGACTATAGTGTCCCTTTAATTTTGGTCTCTTATTTTCTGTCTCTCTCTTAGTTTCTCCTAATTTCTCCCTCTTTCTTACTTATTGATTTTATTCAGTTCTTAATTCTCCTGTCTTTTGCCCTGCTATCTTCTCTCTTTCTTAGCAGTGTCACCTTCAAACACATTTGTTTTTTTCCCCTTTGAATTAGATCTTAAAGGGATCCTATAGTGCCAGGAAAACAAACCTGTTTTCCTGGCACTATAGGTTTAATAGATCCTCCCCCTCAGCCACTTATTTGAATCCAGAGCTGATGTCCCTCGGCATTGGGTCAGGCTCTGCATACGCTCCTCTACTGCTGACGTCAGCCAGCTGGGGATACCTAATGCGCATGCCCAGCAATGGACGTGTGCGTGGACTACACCACCCCATAGGAAAGCATTATGCAATGCTTTCCTATGAGGAAAATCTGACGCTGGAGGTCCGTGAGGACGTCCAGCGTCAGATAACGACCAAAGGACGGTTTGTATTCCGGAAGCCCTCTAGTGGTTGTCTGCTAGACAGCCACAGAGGGCAGACTTAGAGCACTAAGTGCAAAAGGGTCACAGCACCCAGATTACTTCAAACAGCTGAAGTGGTCTGGGTGCCTACAGTGTCCCTTTAACAATCAATTGATCTGTATTACCATTTTTGGTTTTTTTTTCTGGCTAATTGTCCACAGTCAGCAGAATAGTGTGAGAAAGTCCCTGCAGAGATACTCACCAACTTACAATTCCACGTATCAGCCACCTCCTCCTGTTTGTTTGATTTTCTGACCTCACATCCTCGTGGAGCCTTGTTATTAGCAGTATTTATTTCACCATGTATTTCGTTCTGTTGCCGCATGGTTCAAACTCCTCCACCTGCTGTTACCTCGCTGCTGACCTAGTTTCCTCTTAACTCCATGAGTTAAACTAAACTCACTGAGTTTATTTGCCGGTTTGATAATCAGTTTATTAATCCCTGCACCTCAAACGCCACGATCAGCCACACCACTCCCTTCGTCACGTGCGCTGTCACGTCATCACGTACCCAACCAAAGTTTACCAGTCTTTTTAAACCAATAAAAAATAAATAAAACACCACAACTTACTCTTTAAGATCATCGATCATTTTCTGCTTCTCCTCGATTTCATCCCGCAGACGTGAGAGTTGTTTCTGGTGAGCTTCCCTGTGACTCTCCATTTGCTGCTCTAGGGTTTCCTAATACAAATAAATAAATGGTGATAAGGAAACCACCTTCCATGGAATTAGCTGGAATGATTTAAAAACCCGGCACAATAACTGGATATTTGGTTTATGTCCTGTTTTCTTTAAACCGGTTCATTTGTCACCTAGATAACAAACCATTTCACACTGGCATGTAAAGGCAAGAGGGACGCAGACCGAGAACGGCCTGGATTTAGATTTTAAGGTTTAAATCTTTACTTTTTCAGGCATTTGGCTGTTCTTTATATTATTTATAAATACTTGGATATTGGGTGTAGCACAATAGATCATCCTACTTCCAGCAAAGTCATAGAAAGATTCTTATTGAACACATTTAAATGTTCCTTTCCTCTGATTTCTGAACTAATAGAAAAATTAAATGAGATACAAACTGCACAGTTACAAAGCAAGGAGTTCTTTAAAATATTAACCTATATTGGAGGCAATTAAAAACCCGTTGTATGTATATATATATATACACACACACATATATATACACACACACACACACACAAAAAAAAAAAAACACACACAAAAAACCCCAAGACAAGTTAAACAATTTCTTCTGGTTTATTGCGTTCTCCCTGCAGCTCAATACTCCTCAGCTGCAGTCACTTCCTCTCACTGGAGGGGGAGGGGAAGACCTGGGCAGCATGAAAGCAGGGGCCACCGTTGGCTGCATGGCACTAGGATGGTGGCGTCAGACGGCAAGTTTGCACAGAATTGACGTAAGTCAGCTCCAAAATTTGTTCTGGCCTGGATAATGAACTTGCTGGAGATGGAGTTACACCTTCAGCAGCTAAGGGGTTAATCTCTGAACCACTGAACACACACAGACTCTAGGCACCATGACCACTGCAAATCAATGCAGAAATCATGGTGCTTGGAGTAACCTTTTCAGTTTTATCGTGCCCAGAGTGTGCTTTTTCCTCTTATTTTATTTAACCCACTATTGTATTACATTCACTTGGTTGTCGTTAACTATAATTACCTTCATTTCTTCAGCATCTTGAAGTCTGGTCAAATGTTCTTTTTCTTTATCCTTAAAGGAGACTTCGTGCATTTTTTCTGTTAAAATTGTAAAAAAAACAAAACTGACATAATGGCAAATTAAATATTTATATAATTTTCTCTTAAATGGACACCATAACTTAATGCATAATCTCATAGGTAAACCAAACAGCAGGTGATCAATAGACATTACTGTAGCCCAAGCCATCTGTGCTCATTTTATCGATCTTGGCCAGAGGAAAGGCTGAGTTAACAATGGAACTCTCAGATATGGATAAAGCGACCTGTACTTTAACCAATTTACCCAATGCATTTGTTCAGATTCCTAATCTTATACAAATGTATCATCATATTTTCAGATGCGAGAGGAAACAGGTTCCCGAATTCACCATGACCCAGATTAGTATAATGGACACACTGGGGTTCCTTGATGAACTGTGCAGTAAGACACTGGACTCTGAACAAGCAATCTGCATTCATGTCTGCTGACCTGTTTTATCTTGGCATCACAGGAAGTTACATAGTGAGCTACAACACTGGGAAAGTTTCAATGTAAATGGTCCTCTGACTATATAGAGTATGGTGAATCAGGGTTTCTTTGAAGGATCCCAGGGATGATAGAGAAAGGACAAGGGTTTAATTACTCAGATTATGAACTGGAAAATTGAACCTGCACGATCTCTCACAATGTCCTAATTTTTCACTACAATGACTTATGCCTCTATTTATTATTTTTGCATAAACTTTGAAAATGATTTATTATTTAACATTTTAATTATGTGATATGTTGATTTTTTTCCCCAGAGTCTAGAGTTGTGGGAGGGGCTGTTGCAGATATAAGGACTCCCCTCCCCTATCATCGCCATGATATAATTTTTTGATATTTTTTTATGTTGAAAAAAATATTTTTAAAAGTTTATCCAAAAATATTAAAATCATTTGAAAAGATTATCCAGCAATATTAAAATCAAGGCCTTGATCTATTTTAAAGGAAGAATTTTTAGAAGAAACCCCCTTAAATATGTAATGTTATGGCTAACAATGCAATGCCATAAAAGGACACCTGACATTCTGAACATCCCGCTTGGACTGGCCACCAGCTTTAATCCTCGAGACCGCAGAATGCATACCTTGTGCGTGGAGTTTTGCCAGCTCTTCATTGAGAGCATCTTGCGCCTCTTCCAGTTGTCTCCTTCGATGCTCCATGTTCTGCATGTAATCTGTAAGGGATTTGATCTTTGCTTCGTGCTGATAGAAACAAAAAGGTTTACAGTCACAAACAAGACAACATTATAGAACACATTGTAAAATAGATTCAGTTTTATCATTGCTCTTAATGGGGTGGGACAGCAATAATCAGCAGATAAAAAACCCAAATAGTTATGTTTTGGATATATAGAGTTGCTACACTTTAATTACTCCATATGAAAGTGGTGGAAATTAAAAATTGAGGTTGAATCATTACCCTCAAACCTCACATACCTGTGAGCCAAGCAGTTGGCACGCGGCAAGTTCACGCTCGCTGGCATTGATTTTCCGGTTTGCCTCGATCTGTGCAGTCTCCAGCTGTTTGCTCCGATTTACTAATGACTTGACTTCAGACTTCATTTTACTAATGTACAGACGGGCCATTGTAAATTCTTCTTCAATCACTCCATTCACATCCGCTAGCTAAGTAAAAAAAAAAAAAACATAAAAATTGAATATATAACAAATCGTGACCACGAAAATGTAGTACACACCCAAGAATAAAGATAAAAAGGAGGCTTACAACTTGTAGAACAATTAACTGGCAGCATTAAGGGTTAGGGAAGGAGTGCTGTATTATTTTCCATAGGGTCCAAGTGGCAAGTTTTCATGTATCACTGGATAGATTATGGGTCCACTGACTCCTTCACTATTTACACCCCTATTATTTCACATTCTTATGAATAGAAGGGTAGGTCCATCCATTGCCTGAATTTAAAGGGCAGTCACACGTCTAACAAAACAAAAGTCTCAGTTCTGCTGTCACAACGACAATTGCCAGGAACCCAAATCTCTGAGACAATACTCTTCACACCCAGTTACCCAGTAATTGCCTGATTAGTAGATGGGTTTGACCTTGATTTATACGCCCAATAGAGTCAGTAGGCACTGATGTTCTGACAACTAATAGCCATTGGGAATATTGAGAAAGTAGAAAATATATTTTCTAAGATGAATGAAATCCAGTGTGCTAAATGTAGAGCTCATAAAACCCAATTAAGCACAGGATACTCCATAAAATCATAGTTCACGTTAGCACTGCCTCACGACTCAATATTTATGTGAAATGGCTGGTTGTTAGAATATAAACTTCTCCTGCAACTGTTATAAATAATATGTTTTCTTTTTTTTGTGTGTGTCTAATTTTGTATTTGTCTTTTATATGAAATTCAATAAAGAAGAAGGATTAAAAAAATATAAAAATATATATATATATTATAATATAATATAATTTAAAAAAAACAACACACTAAGCCCTCAGTGAATATTATTTTAGCAACCTCCTTTCCTTCCCTACCCTTACCTTTTGTGTCAATATACCCCACTCCCTCTAACATGTAAGCTCACTGAACAGGGCCCTCAATCCCTCTGTTACTGTGTCACTATACCCCACTCCCTCTAACATGTAAGCTCACTGAGCAGGGCCCTCAATCCCTCTGTTACTGTGTCAGTATACCCCACTCCCTCTAGCATGTAAACTCACTGAGCAGGGCCCTCGATCCCTCTGTTACTGTGTCACTATACCCCACTCCCTCGAACATGTAAACTCACTGAGCGGGCCCTCAATCCCTCTGTTACTGTGTCACTATACCCCACTCCCTCTAACATGTAAACTCACTGAGCAGGCCCTCAATCCCTCTGTTACTGTGTCACTATACCCCACTCCCTCTAACATGTAAACTCACTGAGCAGGCCCTCAATCCCTCTGTTACTGTGTCACTATACCCCATTCCCTCTAACATGTAAGCTCACTGAGCAGGGCCCTCAACCCTTCAGTTCCTGTGTCACTATACCCCACTCCCTCTAGTATGTAAGCTCATCGAGCAGGGCCCTCAACCTCTCTGTTTCTGTGCGTCTTACTCATCTGGTTACAAATACATGTCTGCTAGTCCACCCATTGTACAGCACAGTGGAATTTGTTGACACTTAATAAATAATCTTTTTAAAACCGAATCACCTAATGCAATGACTCCCAGCCCTGAGGGATATGGCAGCTACTACATTATAATGTCAGTTGATCCATTTTTAAAGAACTTTTAGAGATTTAGAACTTAGTGTTTTGCTCCAGAATTAATCTGGCACAAAGGAAGCTTTGTGTAGAGACAGTGTCTTAGTAAGGGTTCAATTTGTCATTTGCAGGCTTGTCTGATATATTTTTTGCTTCATACAAATTGGTTACAAAAATGGTTACAGTAGAAGATGAAAATACCATAACTTCATTACGCAGCCCCTGTTACATTGACAGACCAATAACCCTTTGCCTGTCCATGCTGATTTACCAGCACACCAAAAAACACAAACCGTCAGGCATCCTCATTGGCTGTGTGTCCAGAGTGCTTCCAAATCAAAGTTAATAAAAATCTAGGTGGTATAATTTAAGCCAAAATAGGTAGATACGTAAGAATTCTCCATCTCTGCTATAGTTACAGATAGCCTATTTTAACCCAAATCTAGTATTTCTTTTAACACACAAAAATCAGCATTTTAAAGGACACCCCACCACCCAAACACAAACTAAATAGAAATTGTTTGGTAGATATACCCCAAATGAAAACATGCATGAATTTAATTAGGCATTTTTTCATTGGAGTTCCATCTAAAACCTAATGGGGCTATACGGTGTTACACCTGTCTGTTTAACCCCTTAACGACGTTAGTACGTATGCCGTCCAATATAAAGTGGGCTTTACTGCTTGTAGGGTGGCATAGAACACCCTGCATATTTGGTGTGCTTAAATTCCTCACAACAGGGACCCCCAGGTATTAATGGAGACCTGGGGCTCCCCTCTGGAAGTGTCTCTTTAATGCCACTTCAATGCCTACTTGGAGATCATGATGTGAGCAGGGTTAAATCCCTGCTCACTCCACTAACCTCAGGTATCAATGGATACCTAAAGCTCTTGTTAGTCAGCTGGGGCCATTTTTAGTGGTCCCAGACTGACCGACGAGCTCTGGAAGTCAGAGCTGCACAGAACCAATTCAGACAACCACAGCTAAATTACTGAGGTGCAGGCAGCTTTGCCTCCAGAATCTGAATAGATTCTGAATAAACCATGGCAGGCTCTCCCAGCCTGTTCCCAGCCGATTGGGACCTGTGCTGAGTTTACCAAATGCCTAGTCTCTAGACCAGGCTTCCCCAAACTCCAGCCTTCCAGATGCTGCTCAACTACAGCTCCCATAATTCTCTAAATGAAATAGATAGGCTGAGAATCATGGGATTTGTAGTTCAGCAATATCTGGAGGCCCAGAGTTTGGGGAAGCCTGCTCTAGATAAATCGACTGGAACAAGGGATCTCGTCAGAATTACACCAAGTGTAATTCTGAAAATGGCCAGTAGATGGTGGAAACATCTCACCATCTACTGAGTTAAATACAATAAAACCCATTTCTAACAACAGAACGGATATTAGCAGCGCATTATCTTAGGTCTAGGGTTAGTGGTGGGGTTAGGGTTAGATTTAGAGGTAAGAGTAGAGTAGGGTTACACTTAGTATTAGGGTAGGATTATAGATAATGCTGGGTATGGGTTAATGTGGTTTTAGGATTAAAGATAAAGTAAGGTTGAAGTTAAGGGTAAGATTAGGGTGAGTGTAAGCATTGGGTAAGGGGTATGATTGGTATAGTATTGGGGTTGGTATATGGTTAGTGTTAACTATCAAAAATTTCCTAAACATTTCAAGACTGATATTTGAATCTATTTTGGGTTATTTTTAATTAGTTGCACTGAATGTTTAAAACTATAAGCAAAAATTCTTTGTTAAACTTTTTCCCCATTTTTGACATTTTATTTACAGGTAATGTTGCGTTAGTTATACATATAGGATGATAAATGAAAACCCTTTTTGACCTTTAAAAATATGATACGATATGTATGGGGACACTTTAATAAAAAACCCCGAACAACAATGGAACAGACCTACAGCTCAAAGCTCAGGTTTAGTTTTGGTTCAGACCATGGACAATTACCTCCATCCTTAAGGGGTCTTAATTAGTTATTTTGCTTCATTTAAAATCCTAGGAATGCTTTCTTTTGTAATGGAAATAAAATCTGCTTACATTTTAATGATTTTCTTTGTCACTATGCAGGTGTGATTTATTATAGGCCGGATATAAAATGCGGTCAGGCACTTTTCCCATGAAATAGTCATCAATAAATTTATGGGAAAAGGTCAAAAGAAACTTTTAGAACAGCAATCCCCAATCTCGGATTATTCCGATTATTAAAATGTGTTACAACAACCAATAGCAATTATCAACAACAATAGGAATAAAATAATTTCATTTTAAACAAGTTAAAGGGTTACTATAATCAGTTTCTCATCAATACATTTTTCTATTTATTATGCCCTTCTGAACCAGTCCACACCCATTATTTAATTTAAACAAATAAAAAATCCATGAAATAAGTCAGTAAACTTAAATTGTATCCATCGCAGGTCACATTTCCCCCTGCACACACACTGCCTGTAAGGGAGAAGCAGATGAGTTCTAGGCCCCTTAAGTCACGTGTTACTAGCCACCTGCGACACACGTGTAAATATCTATGGATATACAGCATTTCAAGGAGAAACACTGCACGTATTTCTACCACCATGACTGTTTCTTAAAGCAGAGGAGGTGATGGTGGTTGGAGTAATACTTTATCTAATGTTCAATTTGCAGGAGGAGTTTTATAAAAATAAACAAACGTAAAACCGTTACCGTTTTCACATCGTTGGTTCCAATAATCCCACCAATCTCTCCAAGATCTTTCAATAGTAAGTTTAGGATTTCTGTAGCTCTTTTCTTCTGATGATTACTGAGTTCCTGCAGCTGATGCAACTCGCGTTGGGTTGAAATTAAGCTGGTCTGTAAAAAATAAAAAAATTTAAAAAATTATTATATTTAACTAGCAGAATAGTTAAGGTTACATAAATCAGCGTTATGAATCTGCCAATCCTTCTGTGTTCTAGACACGGTATGTCATGATGACTTTGAACAACTTTTAGGAAAGACATATTTCTACATTCAAATGGTATAATCTCAAAATAATCCTTTATAGTAAATATACTGGGTAAAAAATAAATAGATTTCTAGACAATAGTCATGAACTAAATCTGTTTATATGCAAAGTCTAATCAGTCTACATCAAAGCTTTTATATTCTAGAAGCTTAATGTAGAACAGATTATCAAAACTGAGAGCTTTGGCAGCTACAAAAACCATCTCATGAATATTTTTATATCCCACACTTCTGAACAGTGCGACTATAAACAAAGATTCATTGAACAATATTTCTCAAAATAAGTTTAAAAAAAAAAAGACAAAATCTTTAAAGCAGATTAAATGAGGAAACCTCAATGCATCAGCTCACGAGCTCGGACAAAGCTTTTTTCCATGGAGGTCACTTTCTAAATAATTTAGAATTACATTTTCAGAAACGCTTAAAAGAGAATCCTCTAGTGGATTCTAAAAGCGTTTGACATAAATTGCTTTCCTCAACCAATGAACGGCGTCGCGTTCTGATGTACAGAGAGATGTTTGACTTGACGTCAAGGACACTCATAGACCATAAAGATAAAAGCAATTACAAAGTGTAGCAAGCACTGAGGAAAATCAAATTTCAGCCGCCACATAATGACTATCTTGAGCAAGCATTCGAAGTTAACCATATGATTTTTTTTTCCTTCACACTTCTTGATTTTAGCCCGCAACATATTAGACATCAACAGAAGACAACAAGACAAATCCGAAACCTATCCCCAGGCTGTCTTTATCAAGCTATATTGGGCTTGTGCGCCCTCAGGTCTGAACAACGCATTATGATTTTGTGCTTTCTCTGAATAACGAGTCGCATCTCTCTGGCAGAAATTGAAAAAGGTGCTGATTAAAAGGCATCAAGCTTGCCCATTGTACTTTTTATGGCAAGAATGCAACGTAACAATGGCATGTTTTCTAGCTCATAACGACCTGAAGGGCAGCATACATATGGGTAAGGGGGAGCTTAAGGGGCTGAAGCCCTGAATGTTACACCAGACAAAAATAAATCAAAAGAAAAATTCTAAAAATTCTAAAAAAAAAAATCAAAAAAAGGCAGAATAGGCAGAATCTCATTGGAAACTAGGCTCGGCAGTATGTGCTTGTTTCCGGCTATGCTTTTGTGGAGATCCCAGAGAGAATCTTCAGCACTCTGGTCATGGGTAGAGAGAAGAGGACGTAACATAAAATGTTTAGGGCATGTCAAGACATCTCCTCACCTCTCTGTTAATGTAGTTTTCCTTTGGCCTAAAGCCCCATGCGTTTCTGGAACCTAGCAATGGCTCTGGATTGGTTGCTCCATCTATGATGGTCTAATAGTAAAATGCAGAATGATTTGTGTCCCAATCAGTTTCCTTGACCCAACTAAACTTTACCTGACACCACTATAGGACTTTCTACACAGCCATGTAAATCACCGGTTTTCTAGACAAATAAGAACGCAGAGAGTGCCACTCATTTGTACTAGAAGTGGTGCAGAGTTTAAATATCTCGCAGTCAAGTCAAAATGGCAGCCTCTGCAAGCAAGCCCCAGACAAGTTATTTTATAGAAGATGCTTTTCTCAAGTAATTGCAGACTTTGTACAAAATAAAGTACCTTAATCTAACAGCATGTCATCCTCGTGTACAGCAGGCACCACAGTTAAACACACCAAATAATTGTAGCAATTAAGAGCTTTACAAGGATTAAAAGCAGTACTCCTACCGTTTTCTGCGCCAGTTCATCACAGAGCTGTTCATTGGCTTTGGTCTTGTCTTCCACTTCCTGAGATTTCTGATCGTAATTAACTGCTAGTTCCTCCAAGGCTTGAAGAACTTCCTTCACCTCATCCTTGGCTGCATCATTCTCAATCTGTAGTCGAGTCAGCTCCTCTTGAATCTTTTCATAATCTCTGCGTGTTGAAGCCAAAAGCTGGAAAAACAAGTGGAAATGTTTACAGGAAGATAATCATATGCAGGTGGTGTGGTAAAAAAATCCAACACAAAACAGAATATTTGAACATCAGAAAAAAAAAAAGGTACACTGGAGTCACCAGAACCACTACAGCTTAATGTAGTTGTTCTGATGTCTATAGTCCGTCCCTACAGCCTTAGCACTGTAAAACTGCCTTTTCAGACAAATGGCAGTGTTTACATTGCTGCTTACCAACATCTCCAGTGGTAGTTACTCAGTCGGCCACTAGAGGGGCTTCCTATCTCTGTGCTGCAGCGTGCGAATAAAGGTAAGTAAAATCACCTTTAATCTCCAAAGAGAATTGTGCCAGGGACCTAACGCTGCATTCCAGCACTATATAGTGTTGGATACCAGTGGCGTACATACCGCGGTCGCGGGTGCGACTGTGCCCGGCCTACCAGGGGGCCCGACTGCCCTGCAACCCGGTATGTACCCATTGTGGCCAGCCTCTGCTCCTGGGGGGCCCAGGAGCCGGCCACCTCAGAGCCCCCCGAGGCTGGCCCTGGTATCACCGGATGGGCGAGCAGGAAGGCTGCCAGGCGTGCGAAGGAGCACTCTCCCCTGAGTGCTTCCTCTTCAGCTCCCTCGCGCACTGCACTGATGCCAGCGCCGGAAGATGACGTCATCTTCCGACTCCGGCATCAGTACACGGCGTGCGAGGGAGCTGAAGAGGAAGCACTTAGCCAAGGAGAGTGCTCCCTCGCGCGCCCGCCAGCCTGCCTGCCCGCCGGGTGATACCACTGGACCCCAGGGAATCCCCTCAGCTCTCCCTAAGGTAAGGAGGCTGTGGGGGATTAAATTTAAAAAAACAAAAACGTGTGTGTGTGTGTGTTAGAGTATGTGTGTGTGTTACTGAGTGTGTGTTTTAGAGTGTGTGTGTGTGTTAGTGTGTTACTGAGTGTTAGTTTGTGTGCGTCTGTTAGTGTGTGTTTTGTGAGTGTGTATGTGTGTCAGTGAGTGTGTATGTATGTATGTGTCACTGAGTGTGTGTCTGTCAGTAAATGTGTGTGTCTGTTAGCTAGTGTGTATGCGTCTGTTCGTGAGAGTGTGTGTGTGTGTCTTAAGCACTTACCTTTCTCCAGTGCTGGACTCCCTTGGCGCTGGTGATCTCTCCGCCCCGATCCGCCTCTCAGCTCTGAATGCGCATGCGTGGCAAGAGCCACGCGAGCATTCAAACCGCCCATAGGAAAGCATTACTCAGTGCTTTCCTATGGACGTTCAGCGTCTTCTCACAGTGAGAATCGCGGAAGCTCCTCTAGCAGCGGTCAATGAGACAGCCACTAGAGGCTGGATTAACCCTCAGTGAAACATAGCAGTTTCTCTGAAACTGCTATGTTTTCAACAGCAGGGTTAAAACTAGAGGGACCTGGCACCCAGATCACTTCATTGAGCTGATGTGATCTGGGTGTCTGTAGTGGTCCTTTAAGTGTATGTGTATCTGCATGCACTGGCGTACATACCGCGGTCACAGGGGTCGCAGCCCTGCGAACCCTGCGACCAGGTGCCCGCCGCCATGTGTTGCGGCCCCGGCTCACACAGAGTAAGCGTGCGGGGGTGGGGGCCCACGGATCAGTTTTTGCACCGGGGCCCCAAAGGGTGTGTGTATACCACTGTTAGACACACATGTGTACTCCTAACACTATAGTGTTCCTTTAATATATATGACTGAAGGGAACCAGCTGGAGACGCATGTTGTTACAATGTTATTATAGACATCTTCTACAAGATAGAATCAATTTACTAATTAAACTGCATGTGCCGAGTGACCCACAGGGCAGCACATCTGTAGGAGTTTCCCTTTTGCAGTTCTTTTTCCATGTTTTGCATGTCTGAAATTGGGAGAATAATGGGTGGATATGGCAGGACCAGAAGACTGACATGTCCACAATACATCATGGACAGTATTACTGGCCATAGGGTGATAGGCTGACTGGCAAGGCTGCCAATTCAATGAGATCTGCTCTAGAGCCTCTGCATTGGCTTAAGTGCAATGTGAGTACAGTTAATCACACACTCATGGTTCCCACTTTTAAAACAGGACAGTTTTGCTTACCTCGTCTTGGTCCAACATTTGTTGTTTCAGTGTTTCGGCAAGTTGACTCTGTTGATTGATTTCATCATCCTAAAATAATTTTTTTTTTAAAACAAGACGACAGATTATATAGAATTATATTTACAATCACATTAAACAATATTTACTACATAAGCCCAAGAATAAACACTTGGCAATATAGGTGCACTGCCTAAATCACAAAATAAACAAATCACTGTTTAGTAGATATCCCCCAATGAAAACATATATACGTTTAATCATGTATTTTGCCATTGAGTGTTTATTTAAAAGTTTGCTAAAGTTGCACGTCTCTTGCCTAATGCCTTTGCAAGCTTTTCTATCCCAACCCAGGCGTTCTGTGGCTGTCCAAGTAATTACTGTAGCTGTGGCTATCCAGGACCGGTTGTCTGATTGACAGACAGGGGGTGTAACAAGGTTAATTTACATAAGTCCAAATTTCTACTGAAAGCTATCATTCTGGTGGAATGTCCAGCAAAACTGGATCAAAAAAATGCACGTGTCACACATTGCATCTCCCTCACGTAGCCAACACAATCCAAAGCATTAGACTTGGCATCTCACAATTCCGTGTGTCCAGCAAACAGAGTCCATCCTTTGGAATTCTAGATACTGGCATCTTGGAAGCACTACATAACTAGACACAATCTAGAACACTGTATAGATACAATTAGAACTACACGTGAACCTCTTTGACTATGAGCAAAAATTGGATTTATTGGACAATATGCCCAGATACATCTCCTATATCAAACCTCTTATACAAAAGTATATTCACCAAATGGCAAATAGTCAAACTGAAAAACAAAAATTGAAATCTTAAACTACAAAATACATTTGGAAAAATTCTACAATTTCAGCTCGTATTCCAACTAACATCATCCACGTGTTTAGAGTTAGGTTTTCCACTAACCACCAATCACTATTTAGTAAATAAGTTACACAGTATCATAACATTTCATAATATTTAACGACTTTAAAGAGATCGCTCAAAACAGTCTTCGGGGAAATTAATCTTTTCTCAAATTTTTTCAGCTATAAAAAACATTTATTGATAATATATATGACATCTCTATGGGAAAACCTGATAGAATGTCATGAAAAAGGTTTGCTTCGATGTTAAAGCCAAAAATGTAATATCATCCAAAGACTGACAGAAAAGTCGTTTACTTTCCCATAACCCATTGGTCAGTTTCCTCTTAGGATGGTCTCTCTCCTCATCTTTAGAATCCCCACTAGGACTGTTCCATCACTCAATAGTTTGCTTAACTATTAGTACTCTAGATATGTCTATACTGAGTGAGCCAGGGTCGGAGATAACTGGTGACAATCTTTCTATTTACTTTAAATTTTGAGATATCTGTAGTGTAATTACACATCTTAAGTGGAACCATACACTAACAAGGTCCAGTGTTTAGGCCATTTATCAATCACTCATCTTATATACTATAATATTATTATTTACCCAGAAGTACTCATTTGAGCACCTCAGACACAGATTCAACCACCCTTTAAATGGCACATTTAAGAATGAACATCCTTTGGATAACCAAGAAGCTACTAATTAAGAATTAATGTCTTCTTTAATTAACGGTTAGAATAATGGCAAATTCTAAATACAGAAACACAGACCCGCCTACAAGCGAGCACGAATGGAAAGTCAAACACTATCGTAACACACCCGTATTTAACCATTTTAAAAACGCAAAACATGCAATTAGCACAAAGTACGTTCTTCTCTTTAAACAGCAGTACGAGGATATACTTGAACAATAATCACTGTATTCATGAAAATTCCTCTTCCTACCTTCCAAAAATAGAGGATTTAAATTTCATTTAACTTCTTAGTTTCACACAAATGTAGGTCATTCTATGGCAAAACAGGAAAGATTACCCCCAAATCGTCCTTCATATTAATCAGTGTATAGCATTTTAATTCACGTAGTGTGATCAACAACACGTGCATACATCAGACAGTCCTAACAACACAAACAGTCCAGGATTCAGGCATTTCTCTACGGTTTATAATTATAAAATTATACCGCCTTTTATTTGTGCCCTTTTAGCAGTCTTCCTTATATTCTCAAAATAAAAAAAGTTTCTCCTCTGCCCAGTCTGTCAGTTAGGATCCATAAAAAAAAAAAGAAATACAAAAAACGTGTGTAGAATTTCTCTCTATAATAATAATACAACACACTCACAAAATGTGCAGTATGATCGTAATTTGCATATATACTCTAAGTTTTGTTAGCGCATAATATATTCTAGTTTTATTATAGTCAGAGATTCCATACTAGAAGCTTTGTATTTTATTTTTTTAGAGTCTATTCTAGTGGAGTACAGACAGTACGTGCGCTTCAAGGACTGGATTGATAAGCACAGAGTAACAAATCCAGGGGATCTCACACAACATATTAGTTTGCCTTATTAATATGGGGATCGTACAGGTCATAATAGATAATATGAAATTGTTGAAATCTGAATAGCAAAACGTAGGCAAAAATAGCTAAGCTTTGAGTTAAGAAGAGTTTTCCCCAAATCGGAGGTAAAGTTTTGTAATTTGGTGTTTGGCGATTAATCTCTATATCTGAAATTGCAATTTTTAGACCACTATAGCAAAGTTTGTGCATTGTCAATTATTCCAAAATTTCAAAGTCTGACAATTACTTTCAGCAGTTTATCTGTGGTTACAAAACAGAAACGGAAAAAACACACGTACTGTAAACGATAAGTCTAGGAATTCACAAATAAACCAGCCCCAATAATAAAGACAACCTTATCGTCCAGTTGACGGTAGAGACGGGCTATGTCATGGTCATACTTCTTCTTTTCCTCTGATGAGATGCTGGCGATGGCCGGAGAGAGATTATCGATGATCGGCGTGTTGTCACATGGCTCCAATGTTTTTTGATCTTTTGCGCTCATTTGTTCATCCACTGGGACAGCTTCACCTTTTTACAGAGAGGACAAAATATTAAAAAACATTGCAAGACAAATCTCTGCAGAACAGAAATACCTTGCCACATGTACCCTATGAGCAAACATTGTTGAATTAAATATTAGGATTCCATCGATAAGGCTAGAAATACTTCAAAAAGGCAGATTCAGCCGTGTGTTTCCTGAAAACCTGCTGTTTTTTTAGATCAGACTAAGAAAACTGGAAGTTCGACACTATGGGCCAGATTTCAATGTAAAGAAACTTTGAAGTGCCGAGTGTTGAGGTAGATTCTCAAGATAACTTGGTAATGACGGATTACACAAAGTCTTTATATTCTTGCAAAGCATTTACGTTGCATTGAGGAGTGCATGTGATCAATCTTTGTAAAATTTCAACCCACAGGATGTGGTGTATTATGCAGAGCAGTGCAAAATGTGACACTTTTTACATATAATTCATGGTTTGTACTCAGCCTTAGTAGGTGTGATATCCTATATGGAGTTCATTATGCGTGTCTGAAAGCTGTGTTTTTCTGTATTTATTAGTTCAATACAATATAAGGTTGGGCTTCTCAAGTCTACATATTATGTCCGGTCAGTATCAGGTCAAAACCATGACCAGAACATTTTATTTAAAGTGTAGCTCTGAGAATAAGTCTTTCAGCGCGGGAATAGTGAGAGCGCTAGTAAGACAGAGAAAACTATCGTGGAAAGACAAGCCAATGTAACACGCTTAAGATATTGTTAAGAGAGACGCTTTGATGGAGAAAGAGCTGTAATAGAGTCTATCGCTTAGTTGTGCTACAATCATTCCCTCGGATCTGCGTCAGCAGAATAGGAAGATATAAATTACAGGCAGCTACTGGTGGAAGAAGGCTATAAGAGTCGTTTTTGAACATGTAATCACATTTGGGAGTTCCATTCTGTGCAATCTACAAGCTGCTGGCATACGGTCACCATGGCAATTTCAATGCGGTAATCAAAAATACACTCTGTATGCAGCAGTCAGTACAACTCCCCCAGGACCGGCTTGAAAGCAGAGTCTACACAGCTGAATCCAAAATAAGAACCACCAGCATCAGCTCGCTCAGGAAATATAAAAGCTGGTGGGGTGGGGAGCACCAACTATTTAAGAATTCCATTTATTGGTCGAGTAAAGTATCTCTTAAATATGTACATTGAGATATAGATTGCCTCAAGTCTCTGTTAAGTATATATCTCGTTGAGCCTTATTGCCTGCATGCTATATGCATTTTCTTAAACAATAACATTTTACGAAGATGCTATTTTTTTACAAGGGTATGTGACCATAAAGTCATAAATTGACAATAAGCAAGCATAGAATATGTATAATAAATATACAAAACTGAATGTTGAAATCTGAGCTTTTTATTTTTTTTACTGGCCTTTGAATTATGCCTCAAAGATGGACAGCAGAGTTTGCTACTATGAGAAATTTGGCATTCTGAAATATTTTGTCTATAAAGATATACCACTATGGAGGGTGTGCAGGTATGGCTTTAGGGTACCATAACGTACCAAATCTTAGCCTTATCACTCCCAGGGATCACCTGTACCTGGGATCATCATCTAATGTCAAAACAGAAATATAAACCATTCCATTGTAGAAGCCATTTATGTAATAAACATTTTCTATGGAATACAAAGGGATAAGAGGTGGGCTAAGACTGTTGCCTGCCCCGGGTGACAGCTGGAAGGGGACACAAACAGCACCCCCCTCCCTGTACTGTCACTCACTGTAGCAGAGCTGTGCTGGTCAGCTACTCTGCCCAGTCTGTCAGTGAGGATCCAAGTAGTGTGCAGTGAATGGAGATCAGACGTCATATCCGGTCTGTGACCACTCACTCTGCATGCCGCTCGGAGCTCAAGTAGCAGAGTGGGCAGTAGGAGGGTAGAGAGAAACATAAAGGGGTAGGAAGTGGGACTGGAGAGATCATAAGGGCTTTAGAGACACAGACAATATAAAATAATTTAATCCAACAGCCAACAGACACTTCTACATCATAGGTATGCCCCTGGGCCTGATCAGGATGTGTATATCAAATTCTGCTGCTTAACCCCTTAAGGACACATGACGGAAATATTCCGTCATGATTCCCTTTTATTCCATTAGTTTTGTCCTTAAGGGTTTAATGGGAGCACCAACGTAAGGATGTTTTCTACTGCAGGTAACCTTTCTATGCTTCCTCTACAATACATGGTATCATCGCACAGTGTCTGCTCTGACTTTGGAGTTCTAATCTGCCTTCTCATATTCAGATACTGTGCTACATGTCCAGAGACAAATTGGTTTCTGCAAAACATTATTCAGCATAAGACTCCTTTACCAAGGCAAATAGAACAATATATTTATGAAGGAATAAAATAAAACTGTAATGTCTCCTTCTGTAACGTCTCGGTGTCCTTACCCCCTCTCCACCTGTTCAGCTCCATCTCAAGATGTTGTATGATGTTCTTAAGAGATTTAGTTTTATCTTTCTCTTTTTCATATTTCTTTTTCCATTCCTCTGCCGTCAGCTCCAGATTGACAGACACCGTGTTCTTAATGGTCTTTGCCCTAAAAAAAAAAATAATTTATTTATGCTGAGTAAAGGTCTGGAAAGCAAAAAACTAAACAAACAAAAAGCGCCGAATAGACCACAGTAACACATTGTACGCATTTTTGTTAGGAATGCCTGCTTCTCAGCGGCTACATCAAAACATTAAAATGTTACTCATGGACCACAGTTTTACTTCCAGTAGAAACAAACTAATGTAACACTCATATTTCTTAATGCGATGAGGGCAGCCTGCAGATTTACTCCATCATTGAAACCACGGACTAGAACATTGAAAACACATATGTTGTGATCCACTAATTTCTTTTGAACGTACAATAAATATTTGGTATTTGACATCATAATCCAGTTCAGTCCTGGCACAGACAAGGCACACACTGCATTGGAGGAGCAGAAAACCAGTTTCTTTTCTCTTCCATCTTCCTGTCTGTGCCAACTAACAGGTGAAAGGTCTACTTTTCATAATCACGAACGACCATAAGCCACAAAAACATAGAGCTCAAGGTTAGAGCTAAATACGGCCATGTTCTATATATAAACTTTCTTTTTCAGACCTCAGAAACATAAATTCTTAAATCTAGGGGAAATATAAACATAATAGTAAGAATTATGGTTAATTCCATTTAAAAGTACGTGAATCATGTGTTTTTATAGAGAAGAGATCCATAAGTGATCATGGATCCATTAGGATGATCAAACTACTGTCTGAGATTCTGCTTCCATACAGAGCAGGGTAAAGCCATTACTGAACACGGGGGACCTACCTCTGTCCAAACATTAGAGTAGACTTTGTTTCAGCTTCATTGAAGACGGAAGGAGAGCAGCAGATTATAATGGTGGTTCTACAGTTTCCACCGAGAGAATCCTGTAGTATTCGTGTCATTTTACTGTCTCTGTATGGGACATGCGTTTTCTATCACAATAAATAAAGAAGGAAAATAAAATTACAAATAGTGCACATAGACCGTGGCCAGCAGCCACACCAATTCTCCCCCCGCTATCTGCAGAACAAATCCGGACATTGTACTTGGAGTTCAGCTTTTCAATTTTTTTTAAATTTTTTTTCCTCAAGCAGAATTCATGCTGAAATCACATTTATTTAGCTGACAAGTATACCCAAAACCCAGAAAAACATCGAAAAGCCTAGACACCATGGATGGACCTTAAAAGGTAGCAGTCAGTTTTTTGAGTGATTATTAACTCTGCACAGAATATCTACTTTATTATCTCTATTTTAAATAACCCACTATGAAGAAGAATTTAAAGAGATCAAAGAGGATCAACACTTAAACACTAAATGTTTTGTAAATTAGCACATATGAAGGAAGTTTGTGTCAAATGAATAATTTAAATACTATTAAAATATTTTACACATTGGTGTTTTTTTTAATTATATTTATATATATATATTTTTTTTTTTTTTAAATCGGTTTTAGACCTTCCATTCAATGAATGAGTCTGCTGACATTTCCTTTATTTTCTACAACCCTTTCTGGATACGCATTTTGCTTTATTTAATTTCCACCAGGTTGCCAACAAACAGTTTTCATGGTTGACCATTACAAAATTAATCATATTTCCCCAACGCATGTCATTGGCCAATTTAGAAAGTGCACAGATGTGACCCTTGCAAACTAAATGGAAAAAAAACAACAACAAAAAAACAAAAACGACAAACAGAATGGAAATGGAGGGGAGACACATCTGGGTATCATTTCACTGTATAGACTGGCCAAGTAGGATGGACGGGGAAGTTATTGATTTTTTTACAAACAGGAGCAGATGGCAAATGTATTTACTTACAGTTCCTTCAGCGAGAGCAGAGATTACATTGCCCAAGGCAGATAAAGACTTATTGATGTTTTTTGCTTCATCCAAGACAGCCCCCTCTGCCCCAGTCTTGCTGACCTGTCAAACATTGACAAAAATTACAAGCAGTTTGCATACAAGAAGCTAAACAAAGACATTGCTACATAAAAGCATGGTGGACTGCTTTGAGATGGGCTGCTGGGAGTTCTTACTCAGCAAGCTCTTACTCTGGGTGCTCAGTCAACCTGGACATCTTAAAAGGGAATGTTTATCTTACCCTGGTAGATAAAGCCCTAAAAGGGATTCTGAAAGGGACATCAGAGCCAATTAACCCTGTATGTGAATTGCATTGAATACCACTAACCACCATAGGCACTACATGCTGCCGTGATTATGGTGTCAGAAGTCTCTGTCATCCCAGGGTAAGTGTTCCAAACGGTTTACAAATAGTTTAACATTTACTTGGTTCTAGTGGATGCCCCCAGTCCTTCTACTTGTACTGATATGCCAAAGTAGAACGTAATACGTCTGTATTAGCATACAAACATGGGACATTAATCAAATAGAGTATATTAAATAAATGGCTGTTACCTTTTCACTGCCGGCTAAATCAACAAGATACAGCTTTCCACTCAGTTTCTTCTCCGTTTCTACATTCTCTTGCTTTATATTTATTAAGAAAATACTGTGACTTCTCGAGCTGTGCTCATTCATATCTGAAAGGAGATATTTAAAAGGACAACTCAGCAGGTGCAACAACCTTACAGAGAAAGCACATCTTCGAAGATGCTTCTGGCATGATGACTCTTCAGAGATTATTCAATGCGGCCATTTGATGACTTACTTGTAACAGCTACATGCCGGTTTGCTTTTCCTTCATCGATGACATCCATAACTTCTTCGGGGCTGGATACAAATCTTTCTGTGCAACCCTAAAAACACAAAGAAACTTCTATAACCAAGGCCAGATCAAAATACAGCCAACATAAACAACCATGTATTGCTACTTTCTCATCATATGCGGCACATACTTTTTCTGAGGTTGCCAACATTTGGCCTATAAAGAAGTTCTTCAATCTTGGCCATTTTAACTCCTTGAGCCAGGGAGTCTTTATGAGTTCCTTCTCTTTGGCCAGTAGTCTACTATCGAACATGCCTTACAAGAAGTACACATGGCATGGTTTTGTAAAGCTCAGCTTTCCAGTTTACCAAAATGGAAGTGGTAAAAGCCAGATAACGCAGCTAATAAAGACAAAAATCTACATTTTACCAGCAACTATATAAAAACAACAAACGCAGCATGCTTGGATTGTAGAAAAACAAATCTATAGATTAGTCTTGTACAAGATCTCGATTGAGAAATTTTTGTCTACATTACCTTAACATACGGGACTCTATTCTTGTCTTCGTGCACGGCAAGGTTAGTTTTAGACACTAAAATAAAAAAATAAAAAATTGTCTCAACAGGACATGCATTAAATAAACATTTTAAGAGGCATGCCTCTGTATTTGACGATTTGCAGATCCCTAGACCTTGTGCAACTTCTGTATTGAGCCCCCACTGTTCTACCTAATGTGAGTCACAAAATGAATTATAGTACCAGTGTATTTTTCAGTTGAAAAATACGTCAATATTTGAGGAGAGAAGTGGATGTAAATCTGCTGGTACTAGTTGTTCCAATCACACTGGAAAGCCTAAAACATGCTCAATTGTCAAAAATCACGCATAATAGCAACCCATGTTAAAATTTTGAAAAAAAAACATAGCCAGGGTTATGGTCCAGTCTTCACTAGGCATATTGAATTAATAGAGAACTAAAACAGGCACAATCTTACCATCCAGCAAATCTCTGATTTTGTCCAAATAAATTTCAAAGTATGAAACCTAAGAATAGAGAAAATAAGGGCAATATTAATAGGAATAGATATATTTATATACATTTCCTTTTCTAAAAATTATTTTAGGTACAAACAGCAATACATGCACTTGCATCAAAACATGCAATATACAAAAACATTTTTTGCAAAAACAATAAAGTACAAATCTGGAAAAAACAACAGCAAACAAACAGTGGAAGTGTAATACGCAACAACGAAAGGTTGGGGTGGGGGGCAGGATACACTGCTGCCGACGAGGGTTAAGTCCTACAGAGGCCAGTTTCCCAACTATGTGTTGGTCTCAGAGAATTCTTCTCGTACAGTACATACTTTCTAAATAGAGGCTATTTTATTTCTAACTTGGGCTGTTAATTTGTCTAGAAGATAATGGTCTTTTTTTAATCACACAGTCAATTGCAGGCATTTTGTCCCACAACCAACATTGAGCCAGGGCTCACCAGGCTGGTAACATTATCCTATCCAATAACCTTGTCTCATACGAGCGTAAATCACCAGAAGGTCTAGAGAGCAGGAAACCCAGAGGTTAAAAGGGATAGGAACATTTATATTTATTAAACAATTAAGGATAGACTGAATTTAATTTCACAAAAACACAGCTGTGCCTTTATTTGGTTTTAGAAGGTATATTTAGTTATTAAATGAAAAAGGGAAAAAAAAAAAACACTTAGTGCATCTCTGTACATATCTATGGGAACAGCAGTCTAACCATTTTTGGTCAGAAGTACCTCTTATCTAAGAACATGTATGACTTGAATGTCTCAAACTGTCCTCGGGTGCCTGCACATAAAGTCAGTATTCATGAACCTGTCCCTTGGTTACCAGTGGTGTTTCTGGTTGGGTAAGCAGTGTTTGACACAAAATGCGATCTAAAGATGGCAACCTCAATTAAACAAGGGTAAGACATTAGATTCACTGAAAAAGGGTATTTACTTATGTATTACGAGATAATACAAATGGTATTTAATCTTTATTTTAATGCATATAAAAATTATGATGGTTTTCTTTAAAAGTACAATTTGTACCCATTTTCTTGTAAATCATTAAGTTTTATTCTGGGCTTTTTTTCCCCCAAGATCAGTCATTTTTTACTTCCGGAATGAACTGGCAAAAATGTGAAGTTTAGTGAATAATCCTGCATGATTCTAATCCGTGACACCGAACGCTTAGCAAAGGATCAAACAAAGGTTAATGTTCTGTAGTCATTTGAAACCTGCTAAAAGTTATTTCCTCAAGCACAACCACTGTGTAGGTTATCCACATGTAGCATGTCACAATCACACAGTCCCTCATGTTTCTGTTAGATCACAACAATCACAATTTGAGACGTGTATAAAGTTATGTCTAATCTGGAACATCTGACCGTATAGCTGTGGCCTGTTGCCAATGTGGAAAGATATTCAGGCAAATCATGGTAAAACCGGTTTGCAACTCTGTTACTAAAATAGCCAAACTTTGGCAATTACCGGTCGCTAATACGGACTGGACTATTCACATTTTTTAAATCCAGCTGCAAAATAGTGCTGTCTAATCCAATGAAGTTTTATATGTATTACATTCAAAAACTTCTAAATCAATGCCTGCAGATTCATCTCCAAAACTAGAAGATGAAACCATATATACAAATTCTAGGAGAAAAATAAACAAAACAAAAACAAAAAAACAACAACCCAGAACACACAACACACCATCCAGATTGTAAAGAAAAGTGAGAAACTACCACTTGTCCAATCATCACATTTATAATAACCACATGTTTAAATGCAATATCCCAATTTTGCTCAGTTATACAAAACATTAGGGATTTAAAACAAGGACTTCGATTTAGATCGCGATGTCCCTTTCATTTTCTCGTATCAAATTGTTCTGCCCTTTATTCACCCAGTAGATAATAATATGTCACATTCTATTCACCTTAATGTGAAACTCTAGGTTTTCATCCATCGAATAAATGTGATCGAAGATGTCATGTGCAATTCGAGGGATAATTCCCATCAGCTGATGGTCGTGAAGTTTCCCCTGTAGGTGGAAAGAAAGAGAAAACACAACTGAACTTTCATTGCCAAAACCAGTCTAAAGGAGTTATGCTTCATTATACGAAGAATGAAGACAGACAGGCCAACTGCTGTATAGGATGCCTAATAAAATCCATGCAATGTCTTGCAGGTGAGAATATATTGTATCATACATTCAAAATTAAATATAAAGCTTGTGTTATCCTCTATCGCAAGTCCCAAGAACAGTTGGCCGGTGACACTTCTCACTTCAATCAGACCATAGTGTTATATTGGTCTATTTACCACTGAGGGTGTTTCTAGGAGAGAACACACACACACAGAAAAAAAAATAAAAAAGGTGGATCAAGAGTATAAAATTGTAACAGTCACAGGAGATTCAAATTAGGCAATGCAAGACAGTACCAACTCAATGTGCAATATTTCACTCCTTTTGATCCAGGTTTCTTGATTGCCACCCGTCAGAACTCTCTTCTCTGGTGGAGTCACCTCTATCTCATGGGCAGAAACAGTTCTCAACCCATCTGATACAGGGCATAGCAAGCAATTATGGAGTACAACATCATGAAGACCCG